GATACATTTGCTCCCCAATAACGAATGGTGACTTGTCATTTGAATTGCATTTGTAGGACATGAAAGACGAATAAGTTTTAATATCCGCGGTATCCCTTGGAAACGAGAAATAGAGAATACGCTCTTGGACGGGCTCAGGAACGTTGACGAGAGTAGCTTCAACGTATTCGAATGGAAGATGTGCTGCCACCGACATTGCGCTTATGTCAAACAAAGACATTAAATTAGAAACGTGTTTTTCTTTGCAAAAGTCAGGATCCAGTCGCCTACACTTGCCCCCAGCAAAATTGTTATGGTAATCACTTTGCCGCTTCATAGTCTTTTCAACAGTCCTTTGTGGTGTCTTAACTTTAACCGCCTAAACTGTCTTGCGCCACAGAAAATAGAGCATTGACTTAGAGGCAGCGCGAGGCAACAGCTGATAAACGCTAATTGATGCACTTAAACACATCAAGGTTGTGTTTATTATTTTTGGTCAAAGAGTAGTTATAAACTAAACCATATTTTTTAACAAGCTTATCATTTTAATAATTCTATTTATTAAATGTATTTTCGTAAGATGATTACATGCAAAAAATGTAACAGTATTAAATAATTTACCAATAAATAATTTTTTTTTACTTTGAGTGCTCAAATACATAGCAAACTACCGGTTATAAAAATTTTGTGATTCCCTATGTCAATTAGGAAACAAATTCTTAGGATAATTCACAAATCGTGATTATGTTCGAAATATGTTTGTCGAACCATAGCTACACCGGAAACGTACATTAGGTGTTAATATATACTTGGTGTTATGTTCGCAAAACAAATTGATGCTCATACTCGAAATTTACTAAACCAGGGGCCAATTAGTTTGTTGGACAGTAAAATTGCATTTTTGATAGCTTTTGACCATCAAAACAAACTACGTATATTATTTGAGCCAATTTTTCGAAATATTGTCTACCCTTTGTGAAATAGATGGCGGAGCAGAACAGCCATGGACATTGCAACTCTCATTTAGTTTGCTCATTATGCTGCAACCCACAATCACCATGCTCTCGAGATGTGGATCACACAGCATTGTTCTCTAGCCAAGTCAGTTTTTGGGTCTCACTGTCATCACATTGGGGTCTAAAATGAATATGAACATGCTTCGAGTGTTTGGCTTAATCTTAAGGTCCCGTGCGTCCATTCGTATTCACTTTTCGTTTTTCATTAGCTGCGGTTTGTTCATTTTATCACCTACCTGTATTAGAACAAATGTCAAAACTCAGAAATTTTAGTGAGCTAATAGGCGTCACATTCCGGATGTTGGAATATATTCAGGCAACAACTTTATTGATACTTGCAGCATTCATAAAGTACTTTCTGTCTATCCTCTTGTTTTGCTGTTCCGATTCTCGTTGGAATTTGTCCAAGCGATGAACAATATTTTGAAGGCGCCCATGTCAGTGATTATGTAGTTCAGACTTTCTGCTTCTTTACATATTATGTCAGTTCTATGCTCCTTCATACAACTTTACAAGCTCGATTGGAATAGAATCCCAAATATCACAAATATGACTTGAGCTACTGAAAAACTGATGAACGATATTACAAATAATAAGAATGCCAAACTCTAGCACTCCGTAGCTTTCTGCCTCAAAACGAAGCAAACTTCCATGATTTTTGTCCCTGTGCAGACCACGTCAAACTGATCTGGATCACAGAATCTATATCCCATGCTTTGTTTTATCACCCGACAAAAAACCATTCCGTTTCTACCACTTGCTTGATCCGGACAAGCCATCAAACATTTGGTTAATGCTATTCTCACACCAACTAGTTATTATGTCGAAGTTATTAACAAACAAAAATTTTTTCTACAGCTTAGAGCAACCAATTTAAGATTCGAGACTGAGCCACTCTCCCATTTAGTAAACACATTATAATGTTATTCTAAACATGTTTCACTGTCAGCTGAATAGTCGTATTATGTAACCATTGTATTTATTAACGATATGCTAAAAGGTAGTTGTTCTACTGTCTGGACTTATCGACCATGGTTAAAGAAAATTTAGGTGCCTTCAATTTCGGTGACAACTTTAAAATATCAATATTTTTTTCTAATGGACACAGGTGTTCAATACTGGAAACGGTGGCGTACAAATGCTTTACACGGTTAATCAGCTCAGCAGTCTGTGTCCAAGTTAGGATTTGTAATTCTGCGAACCGTGCATTGTGCTTTTCAGTGACTTAAAACAACAAGCCTCCATACCCTATCAAGGCAATGCTAAATTTGCACTAAACAAGTGGAAGGAACTTGTTTCAATTACTTCAAATCTAGCAAAACCTCGTCGCCCACTCTTCCTTCTCTGATTGTTCCGGTTTGTAAAGTTGACAGTTAATGCTTGTTATTCCTGTATATAATCATACAATCATGATATTAATATATCTTCCTTCATTGTTTTAATCTAACTTCCGAAAATGTGTATTTTTAGATTAAAAATAAGACTAGAACTATTACCTCCTAATCAGTTTCAAATTTTTTTCAGGAGTAAATAAAAATAACCTCGTGTTTAACTATGTGTTCTATCAGTGCATGCGAGAGAGTTCGTCGAATACGCTGTGGCTGGAATAGAATAAAGGGCTTTGCGAAGAGACAACTTGGTTGTTTCAGGACCTTGCACGGCATCATTCGAATCGGATATTCCAGTGAGAAAAAGCCTCGTTTACAGCCATAGGCAATTGCCTTTCAAGGATTTATGTACCCGTAATTAGGGATTGTACTATTTACACGTGACATCGCCACAACTCGTACAGCTTGCGACTACTCGATCCATACTTATGCCTTGCTTAGGGCAACCGACATAATGAGAGTAGAGCTTGATTCGATCACTTAATTTTGAAGAAGGTAGCTGATTCGCTGAGTCTCAGTCTCTTACAGTGGTAAAAAATGTGCTCCAGCATTTTGCGGTGGCACTGGGTTTCGAGCCCCTAACGTAAAGGGTCATCAAATCGCAGTGGAAAGCCCTTAATTTTGATTCTTCACAATAGCGCGTCTCGAGCTGAGCCTGAGCAAATGGACGCAAAAGGATGCTTGAAGTATCATCAACGATCGTTGTAGTTAACAGAATGTCATAAAGACGAAATGTGGACAGAATCACAGAAATTCGCATGTGCATAACGGCGGCTATAACAAACATCCTACGTGGGCAACTGGGATGATAAGCAGGACGCCAGAACGGAGGTCAGCTTGGTTGCCTGAAAAAAAAGACCGAACTAACTGGTCGGGAAGTCACGGGAGTGGATTGGCAATGGGCGCAAATAAAGTGAAAGTACTGTTGTCCCTCTAACCACTACAGAAAATACTGTACGCCCCCTTTTGCATCCGAACCGGGCACAAAGTGGTCTGGACTGGCTTCGAGGCGATTCGCTGTGATTTAGGTAAACCTCAGTTGGCCTAGATGAGATCTCAAAGTAGTAATGACACCTCTCTACCTTAGGAATATCAGTTTGCTCAACTAAAGCTACTGCTGACTGTAGTTTTGGCAACGCAAATTGTCCCTCACCTCCTCGGCGGAAGTTCCAACTGAGGGGAAGTTCTTCATAGCGTAGACGTACACGCTGCCACCACTGTCGCCAACCATAAGCGTCTGGAAAAGAGTAAAAATTGTAAATTTGGTGAAGGCATTTTGGGTGTGACCGAAGTACTTCACGAAGATCATGCGATGTGAGAGCATAGCTAGTAAAACCAGGCTGTAGACTAAGTATTCAGGGATTTTGATGAAGCCACACTAGGGCAAAGGGTTGACAGAAAATAAACCTGAATGAAGGAGGATGGGAATAACCTAACGTTACTGAGACAAATTAAGTACCACTGTTCGGAAACTGTTGTGCTATTTTGGCGAAGCCTTGTCAACGCACCTTCACCTGGGTTTTCTTCGGTTCCATTCCCAACTAACAGGCTCGCCTTGACCTCAAGCCTAGCAACACGGAGCCGGGAGTGCACGTGCTCCTCTGGTGGCCCGTTTGATTGGTGTTGTGGGCACGTGTAAAGTCCCGACACCGTACTGCATCAGATCTAAGATTACTCGTCTCTACTTGAATGCGGTTTGTAATCGAAGCAAGGACCAATGGTCATGTGAATTGAAATTCTGAACTCGTTCTTAAAATATATTTTAGGTTAATTAGGCACCGAAGATTATAATTATCAAAAATCAGACAGCCGAAAAAAACGGATCTTTTCTTTCTTCTTTTCTACATGCTGCACTTTGAACTTACTCTTCGCCCTCTCATCCGACTTACACGTCCGCTTTCTCCACAATTTTTTTTATTTACTTCTCTCATCTTTTGCGATCCTCTTTGTTTTCCACTCCACTTATCTCCGTCCCCTCACTTTGTCAGTTTAGGCTTGACAACGGGCATCCCAACTTTGCACCTTTCACTACTACGCCCTCCGTTCTCCTTCTCTCTCTCCTCAACACCTCTTCGATCTCCTTTATTCCCTGTCCTCCTGTTTGTAGCCTTCGTCTCTTTTGCCTATCTCTTAGCTTACTCTTCTTCTCACCCATCGTACAGGAACCATTCGTTGTCGCTCGTTCTCTCTCAACTCCCTCGGATTCACCAGGTTTCACCATACGAGGGCTTGCAGATGTGCCTTTAATGTTGGTATGGCAACGCAAGGGCCACGAACACGCGTCTGATTAGTAAGTTGTGTGGTTTCGCATCTGTCAAGGTTTCGCGACGAATAGTTGTCAGTTGGTGTCTCTGACTGCGCAGCTGCACATGTTCACCACACGGGGGAGAAACGAACAGCTTTGTGTGCAAACCTCTGGTCCCAGTTGCTAGGTCGCCTGTGTGCGTCAAGTTTAACACGTGTCTGCAACTTTGGCAGTAAACTGCGCATGGAACCCACGCCATTTGGGGATTGACCTTGCTGTCTTGAAAACCAAAAATTCAGATTTCTTGTCTTTTAAGGCAGGCACACACTTGAACGTGACTGCGCACAGGCTAGGTGGATTACCAAATATAAACGCTCAGGTCTTATGGGTGCTTGGAAATGAAGGCAGACCCAAATTAGTGTGCAAATGTAGTGGAAAGTAACCATTTGGATGTTTCAAGTCTTCCAAAATGTTCCATTTCGTGATTGCGATTGTTGGCATGGGGCGCGCAGGTTGAGAACAAACTGACTCCCAATGCAGACCCGATAGTAGAGACAGAGGCATTAAGCACTGAGCCGCTGTTGCATGTGGAGAGGCGTCACCTATGGGGGTGAACATACATTCCACCGACCGTAGTATCGGACTCCAACTCAGCAAGCTAACATGGACGCTTGTGCCAGAATTTTGTATATCATTACTTATTTCTGACGTTTCCTGCCCGTTCTGGTCACCTTTGAGCTTAAACTTCAAAGCGTGCATATCCATACGATCAGATTTTCATTTCGCTGAAAATGTAGAATTGAATAGGCGCGTACTTGATGGTTCTCCAAAAGTCGAAGTTCCACACGGAAGTCACCGACGCATGCCAAATGACTTGAATTATCTTCTTAAAGGCGCCAGGCTGCACAAGGGACCATTTACTACTAACCCACAACCTCCAGCATTTGACATTTGACACGATGAATTGGTGAATTCACTGCACCAAAGTTGACCGCTTACCAAGGCCCATCAAACCGGCCGAACACAAATGATCGTGATTCCTGTCAAGCCGAGGAAAGGCTATGTAGGTTCTGGGGCACAGATTGCTCGTCAGCGAAGCCCATCGTTAACCTTTGAACTGATGCCCAATCAGGGTAGCCCCTACAATCCTATGGGGGCAACTGACGTTTAATCACCGATGCAGCTGTGGCCTGTCTTGTTGCTAACGCGCGCGCGCGCGCGTATTCGCATGAGGATGCATTAGCGTGACAGCTGCGCTGGTCGCACGTGCGCACATTAACACTGGAGCAGCAGCTGCAGAGGTAGGTTTTAGACACGCACGACGGCAACAGCAAAGCCAGTTTTATTAGGAAGATGCGCTTTATCTGATTCTGCAACACCCTCTGCCGGTTGAATACGGACCAAACTTGTGGCAGGATGATAAAGCCAAGCGGTAGACTCGGGATAAGTTTTGCGTTTTATATCGTACTCAGGGTCCTCGTAAAACCAATGTGAAGCAGCCCTTTGAACTCGGCTTCAAGGTTTCATATGTGGAATTAAGGCTTTTCCAACGGCATCCAAGTAAATGGGTCTCACAATGACACAGAGCCCAGAACAGTCCAGGTCAGTTAACACAACTCCGAATTGCCGCTTATCACTTTAAGCACGTAACAATTATGTGAAGAAAAAGCTTAAGTAATTGAAGCTAAGTGCAACTGAGTGAAAGAATCTCATGAGATTTGAAACGACTATGGCTCCCGTAAGCACCTAGCCTCACGGAAATTGATCTGTTGATGAATTTATGGAAACCATTCCAAGTGCTTAGTCTCACAATTCGTACATCCTTGGATTTGTTAATAGGGAAAAAGGCATCCACCCAAGGACTTTGCTTGTGATAGTTTCTGGATGTCTGATTATTGTTAGCACTCATGATTACGCAGGAAAGTAAGAAACCCCAATTCCAATAATTTTAAAAGTAAAAAGCACTCTTCCTTACTAATCCACGTGAATGTGATAGAAAACTTGAAAATTCAACTGTATCATCCTCCCACGTATACGGTGCAAGACAGCACATAAATTAGGTACGCCCTATTTCTCCTCCGAGAATTCTATGCGACTTCCACTTTCGCCGCCTTATTGGTCCAAAAGCGCGCATCACGCACGTGCGCGCACCTGAGCCAATTAGGTGAGAGCGCAAGCCGCGTTCACACTCGCACACGCACAACTGCCAAACTTGTCAGTCACTTTTGCGTGAATTAATCACCGCAATGGAACTTCTCGGTGTAGCCAGCAATCAGAACCGCAAGCCACAATCACCACCGCCGCCGTCGCATCGAGGAGAAAAGGACTTCCGCATCCCCATTAAGCACGTGGCTAACGCGAGAGAACGGACCCGAACAGCCAGCGTCAACGACGCCTTCGTCATGCTCCGCCGCCTAATTCCCACAGAGCCTCTGAACCGCAAATTATCAAAAATCGAAATCCTCCGCCTGGCGACCTCGTACATCTCTCACTTGAATTCCATCCTCGCCACGGGGATTCCAGCCCCCGAGCAGCCCTGCTTGCGGCATCTCAAGACCGCGTGCGGTGGACAGCGCCAGCAACAGCGACCAGCCATCTGCACCTTCTGCATGAACGAATTCAAGCAGCACCAAAAGGAACTTGAGACGCAAAAGTGAAAATCCCGCATGAGGCGTTTTACTGGCTGTGCCCGTCCACATATAACCAAGTAACTACCAAACATGTTTATGATTATTCCTTGACTTAGAAACTCTACACACGATTTCATAAAAAAATGTATATAATACAATACTCGTTGACTTGAAATGCAGACAGCTTTTCAATCTGGAGTTAGTGTAAGAGTTAAAAGGGAAGCATTAAATAGCATGCCAACCGTAGGCATTTCGTAAGGGTTTTTACAAATAGGAAAAGCACTCAACTTTTTTCAGCCTCGAAAAGGTCAACCACCGCAATTAGTAATTGCTGATTGAAATGAAAAATTACCGACTTACGTCACTTTCTTCTGTGAAGAGGACCACGGACATGGTCGTGTCGACACACACTGTTTCAACATGCACAGGGTCGAGGCTTAAAGGGAAAGAAAAATAGCCTGTGCTTGTTACATCGCCGGTGGTGTAGAATTAGCAATTCATTCGGGGTGCTTAGCTTCGTGTGTCAGGGACAGTCTCTAATACACCTGACGTCCCCAATTGGTAACAATTGCAGTTCAAATCCTTAGAATTCGGATGTTATTTATCCATGTGGTGTCCTTGATTAACCCGCATAGATCGTATAACAACCAAAAATAGCACAGGACAGCCATTGGAAACATAATCAGTAGATCAAGAGCTACTGAATTCTTGCATCTGCAATAAGCGACCAATGCTCCTGGAAGTTTCCGCTGTTGCAGCTATTCTCGAAGCCCTACCTCCAGCTTGTGTTTGAAACAAACGCCCGAGGCACCCTTTTTCAAGGGTCTGCCACATGTCGAGGCGAAGTTGTTAGCGGATGAGTCGGTGTTCGTGACATGCTGAAACAGCCGTTGCATCCTATCATCCATGTTAGCGAAAAACAATTCTGCCTTCCAGGCAAGCAACAGCGCCTCTTTTTGTCTCATTAGCATTTCGCCAAGCGCAAGCTCGTGGGTGTTGGAGGTGCACTGTTTTTAACGGCTGACATTGAACCGGTTACGTGAGATTCGATCGGGTTTATTGGAAAGCGGTAGTTTGACTTCGCTCAGGGGTAACCATCAGGCGAAACTAATTCGAATCAGTTCCGGTTGATGGGGAAGTCGATAACACGTCACCACGGAGGTACATGGGTTTTAGAGAGATTGAAGTTCGAGGGTGTCTGGGAGCGTAGACAAGGGTGTTGGGTCAAGTGGCTTAGCACGGAATCTGGGACTAAACAAACACGGTGTCTGTTCACGCGTGAAGCGTTGCGGTGGGCGTGAATTGGCGATTTTCACCTCGGCTTAAAATAAGCTGGTTGCCGGAAAACTGGCGCTGTGGACATTAGCCCACAGTGGAAACACACTAAATTTAGATGCTACATGGGTGCAAAATTTCAGTATTTGAGCCAGATAAACTGGAAGATGGGAATGCAACCTGGGATAGCATGAAAAAGCCCCAACACCGCGTTTTAGTGTCACTGATAAGGATAAGGGATGGACGTTATTCGACGGACGCGTAAAATGCGCATCTCTTCTCGGGTATATTTTACCCAGTGAGTGCAGACAGAAAAAGACGCCTTTAACCACTAATTGGGAATACGAATCGTATCGTTTATTTAACCATCTCAATTATACGTTCGTGTAAATAAATTTATCACTTGGAATTTATCTCGATCGGGGTTGAAATTCACCATGTTGACACCTGATTTGGTAATGCGGTTGGTCTGTGTTTCTATGCCATTTATATTGTCAAAAGCGGTGAACCCAACCGAAGGCCAAGATGGCGTAAAATCGCCCAACGTGCATCTCCAATAGGCGGCTTTCGTACAAGAAAGAGAAAATCAGGCATGAACGCCCAGAATATGCGCACTCTAAAAGGTCGGGTAGAAAAATGATAACGAAAAACTCGCATACTACACAATCGCACAAATTAATAGATTGGCGTGGAAATTCTCGTAACTAGAAAACCAAATTGCCCCACTTGGTGGAAACATAATGGGTTTATACTCCTGGGTAAATCGGGAACGCGCTGCAGTGACCGTCAACAGCCATTTAGGAAGTCAAATTGCCATCACGATATTTTGCATTGTCCAAATAGCAATCCAGGTGTTTTTTACACAAAAGCACGGCAAATTAGCCGAAACATTCCTCCTCGTTTAGGAGATTGCAGAAGGAAAAGGGTAAGGCTTCCCTGTCATGTGTGTGCGCACACGTGTGCATGTGTGTGTACATACACCATCCCTACTTAGGGTAAGCGAAGTTTCACGTGTAGTTGTCGAGGTTAATTAAGAAGGAGGCACAAGCACTACTATTAGCACCGAGTCATAATATAAATGCATCTAGACGACTGTATGGCATCGCTTCGGGTCCGGATTCGTTTTCAAGGACTCAGAAGAAAGCAGAGATTCAGCTAAATAGAGCCTGAAATCTGTTCGGGACTTGGGTGTCCCGAAGGCCGATTTCTCATCATTCGATGCTGATAGATGGCCTTCTGGGACTCTATGTTTCTGCCACACCAAAACCCAATGATCTTTTTGCACACAGAAGTTGGGGCTCGATAATAGAGTGTGGACGCACAAACATGTCTAAGAAGCCAACGAGAACCTGGTTCAAGCGGCTCAGTAGATAGGTGGAGAGGACGAACAGGCACGGAGTATGGTGATGGTCTTGTGTTAAGGAGATTCACCACAGGGTCTCTGTCAAAGATGCCATCCCTTAATCAGGGTGCACAGCCTAGATAAAAGTCCCCATGGCCATATAAATGTACCGATTCACTTGTCCAATTCCCACATCACATAACTGGGAAAATAAACAAATACCCATATCGTGGTAGGGGACGTGCACGTCAGGAGTGAGACTGGAGCCGAAGGATAGCTTAGCAACCAGGACTTGAATGCATAAATAAACTGCACGAAGGTTCGTGAAGCCAAGTTGCACCTGCGTGCTGGGCCAACGCCTGCCTCCACATCATCCCAAAATCTGCGAGGAGGCAAGTGTTGCTGTTGATGCACGTGTAGCCATTATTAACGAGCTACACTGTAGATGGGATGCAGAGGTGTTCGGCTACCCCTAAGCACATAAAAGCGATTGGGAGGGTTGTGGGTCGATACGGAGGGAACCTGACTCCTGCTGATATTTCCACTGTCGATTTCGTTTTTTTTTCAGATTAATCACGCTCTACTGGGAGGTGTGTTTGGTATTAACAAACGCAAAGTAGGCACGATACTGCCAGAAAATATGATAAGTTCCGTCTACTTTCAGGACTGTTTCATGCCAATTAACCGCTAACGTTCAATTTTGTCTAATTATTAATGTAAGTGGCAAGGATTGCATCCATTAAGAGCATTATCAACAACTCTAGAGCACTTAGAAGCAAAATTCGACAGAAAAAAACCCTGATTGAAATTGATGGTGCTTGCTGATGAGGTAAGAGGGAGGCAACTTGGGACCAACAGCTCGATTTTCTCAAATAATGCCACCAGAGGGCAAAGTAAGATTGTCACCAAAGCGCGTAACATCAGCACGTTACTTGATGAGGACCTTCAGAGTTGTCCTTTAGGCTCCAGCAACACCACTATACAATAATTCCGTGAAGGTCTACGAGGTTACTCCCTGAAATGCGACGCAGTGAAGTGTACAAAAGTGGACATGGAGACCGGTGTCGTGTTGCCGCGCGATCTCTGTCCCTATTGGTCACGAAACACACCAGAAATTCAATTTGAAGTTCCATGAAAAGGCAATTCACGCTGAAATAAATCCTTGAGTGGACTCCAATAGGCGACCACTCAGTTAAAAATTCACACCTCGACTACAGCGGTGATTGGTGAAGGGACAAGCGGCTTGCCAACAGTCACGACCGAAATCCTGCAGTGGCCTTTTCAGGCAGCTTCTAGCGTGCCGTGGACTTGCAAGCGCGACATCTCGTGCGCAGTACGAGCACGCGTTATCTTCAGATTTCGGGGTTTCGAATTACAGTTTGGTTTTTTTTCCAAAAATGAAAATGCACGTACGTGGTTGGGTGCATCAGACGACGGCTGGAACTAAGTTGCCCTAGTGACTGACTGGGAGGTCGGATAAACAAAATTGGACACCTGCGTCGCTCTGATCTGGCAAATGCGGAATTAGGTTGTGACCACACACGCACACGCACACACACATACGTAGCGAAAGTAACAACACACCTTCAACGACAACGGCATATTAAACAAAAATTATGAGACACCATCGACACCGTGGCCTAAACTTCCTGAACGCCCACAGCGTGTTAGTGTACCATTGCTCAGTAAATGTCCACGCTCCACTATGTCTACTACCGAGTCCTTCTTACCAATGGGTGTCGGCAAAATTAGTTAGTCTAGAAGCGTGAGTTTAGATGGTCATCAAGTCTTGAAAAAGCAACGAAAAGATGAGCGCAAAATGTTTGATCTAGTGCCGTTTTGACGCCTCTTCCCTGGTAATCTTGAATTGACAGGGGCAGAACCAATCGACTGGACCCTGTTGAGTCTAGCCAAGAATTTAACCTGCCAGTCTAAAATTAGGGGCAAAAACTCAACCGCTAGGCCACAAACCTGGATTCCCACTCGTTTTATGTCAAATACGCGCATAAAGCACATGACTTGTTGCTGGGCGACCCAGACTTTTGGCTTTTTTCTAGTTCGGATTTTGTGTTGCCCAAGAGAAAGCCTGCCTTTTAATTAATTGACGGCACGTCGGATTACCACAAGTGCCTTTCATTGTGATACCAAGTTGTCAAATCACTCAGCAGGTCACACGTGGCCGCCTAAGTCATAATTTGGGCAGATGTTCGGCGTTTTGAGATAGCATCGGTAGATATTTAACAACCGAACTGTGAACCTGCAGTGATCTAGTTCCAGAGAACAATCGAGCGTAGAACAGATAGGCGTGGCGCTACTGCGAATACCGCTTGGTGTGTTCGCAGCAAGAACATCACGAGATGGGATCCATGTGCAACTTTTGCAAAGACACTTGGAAAACAGGTGGTGAGTGTCCTGGCTATGGCTGATGTAGTGTGATTTTCGAAAGGTGCATGTGACATGACCAATAACTTACGTTGAATGTTCGAGGTCCCAAATTTCTAAAAAGCTTTCATTGGTACATGCGAAAACGGCGCCGTGTTGGTGGGACCATGCCAAGTCATTCACAGCGGACTAAAATTGTGAAAAATCAAAATCTAGGTGTCAGAAGTGAAATACCTTGGCAAGGAAAATACCTGTCAATAAATGTAATAAAAAATTGAATTTATCGAGTTCAGTTGCCTCGCTCAGTGGATCTCTGTAGAGATTTTGTCAGTTTAGTTATGAGCAGCTCTGAATCCCAGAACTCTCTCAGGTGTAGAATTTACCTGGTTCACATCCTGAGGTCAGACATTGTGTAACAGGCAAGATGGTCTTTTAACATTATCCCAATTGGGACAACCAGGGAGAGGCGGTTACCTAACCACTGGTTCAAATCTCTAACGGTTTGCAGTATCGGTGGCGCTACAAATCGCTCCTTGAAGTTGGGCTGTTTTTCTGCAAGCCACTGATTGGTATCCACTGCAAACAAGGAAGTAAAAGTACGCTCATAGCCGTCTGTTGTACTTGCGTGACCTTGTGGTAACCCGGCTACACGTTTCGACAGGAATGACGACACTAAAGCCCACCTGCACATTAGTTTTTGGATTCCAGCATCCAAGTGAGGAATAAAAGTGGGCAGGTGAAAATTGTTGGGTTACTAGGCGGTTTGCTTAACGTAGATGCCTGTTTTGTGCCCTGGCATCCACATGGTCTGGATGTCATCTGCTTACGCAAACACGGATTCTGGTTAAGGTTAATTTGTCCTAGTTCTAGCTATAGGTCAAGAATAACATTGAAGGCCATGCCGCCTCGAAGACGTGCTTGCATGTTGGTTGTGGTAAGGTCGCAACCGTCAAGGTGATCGGTAAATTGACGATTTCCTGTCCAAAATCAAACATAACTGATAGCCAAAGCTTCAAGCACTTCGTGTTTACTCTGGCTTTAATATGCTTTCTACTGATTTATCGCGTGGTGGGAAAAATATGGCTTCATCACGCCGTTAACGAATTGACGCAAGGAGAATTTGTCTCTCACTTGGCTATTAACTTCTCTGTAGACATTTGTGGATAATATTACCGCGCCTAGTGAGTTCCAAAATTCCCAGCTAAATCTTAAAATGTCAGCAAATTGAGGGCATATCGTTCTGTTGAGATTTTGTAAAATCCCAAAGGTCAAAGTGCGTCGCTCACTCGCGGCAAAAATTGCCTTATTTGGAGATTGAGGAGGCGGGTAACTCCAATGTTGAGTTAGAATTCGGTGCTGGAAATGTACGGATTGCTGTTTGGAGGCAAATGGAATTGATGGGACACCAAACATTAGCATCATTGTGATTTTGAGCGTGGACTGGCCGAGCACCTTGATACACAGGTGGTGTATCAACTGTGCTCTTGTCTGTCCGCGACCTGTGATTTCACTAAACTGAAGACGAGTCTTTCGTCAACTGACTCATTAGTAAGTAGGGCTAGTCGAAAGGGATTAAGACCACCGGCCAAAATCTGTTGTGCAGTTTACCTGATGGTGTCGCATAGCACCAGCTAGCCACACAAACGAGGCAACGCTATGTCCGAATCGACCGATAGAGGCCAGAGTCTGCTAGGTGCGAAGGCGCTGTGTTTCACCATGATAGATTACATGCTGTCATGGGGACTTATTAATTTTTTTTACAACCTGAATGAGATTATTTATAGCAATCGTCACACAACTACGACGTTTTGCTCCCGGGCTACCATCTCTTTGTGGCTTAGCATATTAAACATATTTGCGCATAGCTAAAACCACAATACAGTCTCTGATTTCAACGAAAGAGGAAACTATAGACTAACGCTCAATGCCCAAGTTTTGAAGAGGTGATTTTCAAACCGCTAAAACAGAGCTAGTAATCATTCGATTTGGTAGGTTACGGCTTTTAAATTTCATTTTTGGAGATTTAATGCTAATTCACATCCAACGTCGATGTTAACCCTCCGATTCTGCCACTACGATTGATGGCATTTGGGTCTGGCAAAAAGTCATGTGAAAATACTGCCAGTCACCACACGTAGAGATAATGTGGGGAACGAAGACCTCAACGCATCCGGTTCCTTGTTTTGACACGGTCAGAGAGTTCAGCATTAACAGGACCAACCCTCTGAGATTAAAAGCACAGCCTTTACCATCAGCGTCTTTCACAGACCTCAATGTGCATTAAGTATAGTAGTATTGCACCAATCTCTGAATTAATTCATCCTAAACTTGAATTGAGATCACATCAAAGGCAATTAACCAAAACTGTTTCAAACACGGAGGTTTTGCATTTGTAACAGAATCCTTCGGCTTGCGGTTTGCGTGACACTTCACGAATCAGTTATGTGGTCCTCTCGTCTTTGATAAAATAAGTATATAAGTAGACCATCCATCGTGTCTGCGCTTTGCCAGCAGTATGCTCTACTTGCAAGAAACACAAAGAGGGTGATGGCAGAAATGAGAGAAAAACCGCAGTCGGTTTCCCAGGGGATGCGCTCTGGGCACACCGCCTTATCAAGCTCGTGGGTTTAAGCCCTTTTTGAGTGTTGGTGCAGTCATCTACAAATGTTTAGCCTTCATGACAAGGCGGCGCCGACGTGGAAGGTTGCATAAAAAGAGGTGAAATTTAAGCCACTTTAGTCAGCAAGTCTTACTGAATGGGTTGCCATTGTTAGGTAAGACTTCTCCCGGTCAGCGTGCCAGAGTCGAATGGTCCAGTCGGCGGAACAGGAGAGGAAGACGTCGGGTATGAATGGCGAACACTTGATTGCATACACCGAGGCCTAGAAAACACAGCAATATCACCTAGCCTGGACATTTGAAACAGTTTGTAATCGAACAGCGCACCACTGGGCGAATTTTCATAATTACGAAGCATTACATTTAATGACCATATCAGCCTGGGGCTGGAAATGTGTAATATTGATAGGTATATTTAACGAAGGCTCAGGAAAGGCGGCCTGTGTTTTGTTTGGTTGAAAACAATCAACTGTATGCTGATGGAACTTTGAGTACTTCGTGAATATGTGTGCTGCGTAAGCGCTTGGGGATTTACGAGACAAACAGAACTTTTTGAGTGGTTGTAATACTGAACGATGTTGTGTTAGCGGTAGCAGTAAGCTGATGCACCAAGCTGAACAGTCAAATAAATTTATAACACTGTTGAAAGTTAATAACAATGGCAAAAACCACAATAGTTCAGAAATTAGCCTTCAGTACATAGCATAACATTTTTGCCAGTGGCATATTTTATCTGGAGAATTCGAATAAATGGACTTTGTATCCTCGGCCAAGGATTTTTGATGAGTGTTCGGACGCTGCGATTGCCATCAAACGGTGGTTTTGTCTTGGGTGCCAATAATGGATGCACAATTTCTTATCAATGGCTCTGAAACCTGTTAGGCAGAGCCTTGAGGCAGATTTCATTTGTCAGCTCAAAACTCTTGAACTGCGTGGGCGAAATGCATTCAGATAATCGTGATGCTCGGCAAAGCCACAAAAGGAATCGTGGACTTAACCGAGAAAGAAATTAGCGCGGTATTTTGCATGATGATGTGCGAAATATCGCATGCCTTTCAGTGGTTCCTGGCGGAATCGTCGAGGTTTTAAGGACAAATAATCCAACAGCTTGTCATTGTAGTTAGCTGAAGAGGTGTTAAGCCCTTTCGGGTCTGCTTTTCTGGCGGGACCTCAACAAAGGTCCGAAATTTATGAAGAACTTGGTAAGGTTCAAATAATTCATTCGAAGTATCATACAAATGCTTAGTTGATGAGCAACTACAGAGAGGATGGATGCGTGTTTGCACAGGTTAGAGGAGTGTTGGCTCATGAGCGATATTTATCGAGGTAGACTGGAGTTGTTCATTATCTACCTTCATCCAAGTAAGACTTGGAGAAAAGCAAATAAGCGCTCAAATCCTGGACCGCTAGAGGCTACTTGGAACGCCGCCGACTCCGCTAGTTGACGGTTGAAATAATGTGTGGTCGTTTCCGGCAGAATAAACTGGATTCCACACAGGTTATCACGGGACTTCATGTTTATTTGCACTGAGCGTTTGCGCCCACCCTCCCCCCTGCCCTGAGGGGCGTTGGGGGAGTCCGTGACCTCGCCCAACTGCCAAGGGCTCCGTCAAGCGTGCGAGCGACGACGACGACGCGTAGGGCGCATTATGGGCAACCAGGCTGCTTATTGACCCGGATTTGCATCGGGACTTTGCGGAAGTTTACAAAGTTGATCACAACTGTGGGCTGTGACGATTCCGGTAGACAAAGTGTAGTGGGTCCACAATGACTCGTAAGTGGCCGATTTGGCGATGTGTGCTAACCGGGGGTTCTTTAAATTGCCATTTTGAATCGACTTAATTCAGTTGGACGTCTGCCGCGACAACACCCAGATTCTTAATATGGAAACACTTGATGATTACTTTCCAACACAAATGCGAATGCACTCTGGCCAACCGCACAACTATTTTTAATCCTAAACAAACAAACAAACGAAGGTTTGGAGGTCAGAAAGCATTGTCTGAATGGTGCGTCGTCTGGTAGTTGATAAGTGGTTGAAAGTTAGCATTTGCAAAACGACAGTGGCTTCTGGAGTTGCGATGCAATTTAGTGGACGTCCAAAGGAAAGGGAGAGCGAACGAATGAGATGACGCCGGAGATAGGCACGAGGCGATCGTTACTAAAGTGTGATCCGAGGGAAGCTCGGCTGCGAAATTTCAGCGTGCGCCTGCAGTGGATGCGATGAGGCTGCAGCCGCCACCTGTCAGAAGTGACACTAAACCCAGGCATGCATAACACCGCTCAGCAGATGGGGCACACCTGGGCCCGTCATTTAACATCCCGCATTCCAGACACGAGTTTTGGCAGTTAATAAATCTGTCTACCGCCGCTGACCTTCTGTTCTAACTGGGCCACTGACCTTTTCAGTAAATCGGAGGAGTCTTATCATTGCCAACAACAGCTTGGTTGAAAAAATCGAGGCTGTAAGCATTCAAATGAACGGTATTTTGGTTCCGCCATCGAACTTCCTCATGCGGAGAAGGGACTCCTTCGACTTCATATTTGTCATGAAGCATAAGGACGGCGCAGTACGAAAAATCAGTGGTTGGGAATAGTCTCTAAACCTGCTGACTGATTTGCTGATTTAAGTAGCTAGAACAATAGTGCTTTATAACCTCAGACTAGAGACCCCGCACCAACAATGGATGGGAGTTACCATCATGTAAGTCCGCGAACTCGCTCCCAACGCTTCACAAGTGAAACTAAATGTAACTCGGTGAGTCTTCATGGAAATGTGCAGATGAGTTTGACGACAGGTTGCAGGTAGATATTACATGGCATGTACTAGACATGGTTTTTGCAAGGAAGAGGCAACAGGGAGAGAGCGGTTATACCCTATGGCGCAAAATGGAGTGCTTATGGGAGCAGTGAAGTTTAGTTTTACCATGTTAGCACCATCAAAAGAGGACCGTTGTGGTTACAAGTAGTGTCCACGGCTGCTCCTGACTACCGGCATACGATCGTTGTGTGAAATAAACTCGCTGATTTCAACTTGTTTGTGTATCTGAAGGAAATGCTACCGCAGACATCGAACAGCAAACAGGCACGACCTATGCGTTTAGAAGTGTCCAGTCACTGTGATCTCACTTAATTTGTAAGTACATCATTCTATTTTCTGCCACAACACTGACTAAAGGCCTGATGAATTTTTCACACTTTACTGTATGGAAAAAACAAAGCGTGCTTGACCTGAAATGTATGCAGGGTTAATTATGTTAAGCAACAGTAATACAATAAGCAAATAGTACACCCGATTACCCATTGTTGGTCATTTGAGATGCAATGGACACACTAATAATTGCAGACGTCAATGAAGTTTACACATTTAGTTGCAGGACTCGTAGTAAAGAAAGACATGTAGAACTGACCAATGGGGTCACCGATAATTGGTCCTAACTACTGGTGAAAAATTGGGAATGTGATTGGAAAGAACGAGTCACCTCTAAGGTTGCTTGGGGTAAGATTAAATATACTATCCTGAAATTATGGCGTAAAGCATTGTCGAGGATAATAAGGGTGAAAATAACTCATTCTTATTCTTTAATGTTGGGAAACTTATGCATGCAACTACAACTACTGTAATACGGCTGGAGTAAGTGCAGTTTGCTGGCTTTTTGTGCAATGATTCACCTTACGCTGCCAACCAATCAGACGAAGATTGCAGTCTACCTAAATGTCAACAAATTTCGATTGATTATATTGAAACAAATAGTATAATCTACTTTTGGAACTTCCGAATGTAGTTACGAGATTGCCGCTTGAGGGTGAATATGCAACTTACAGTGTGGCCGTTGTAAGTTTCGAGGTATTGCTCATTGTAGGAGCACGAGCATTTGTGGATTTGCCCGTCTTCTGTGCCAATAAAGTATCTAAAATTCAGGAACAGATTTCGCTAAGATCGTTACACGTCCAACCACGAACGCACTCACTGCTAGAATCCCATCGATTCTCGAAGTTATGAAAGCCCAAACTTGACTTTGACTACCGAATTAGGGCCTTCACTGGCGGGTATGCACTGGTAAAAGCGTAAATTGCTAGTGCACATACTCTTTCACATCAACTCACATGTTTTGTTCGTCGTCGGTGAAGCAAAGGGCAGTTCCAACTGCGTGGCGGACAATGAGAGGCTCGGTGTGCTTCTTCTTCATGATGGGATTGGGGGGCTTTTTCCGTGGCCGCTTCAGCACCATCAGGTCTTAATAAGGAGTCGGAATGGGAACAGATAGAGCTCGGTCGTTTGGCATGCCTATGTACATCAACGCCCCCATCCCCAGAATTACTAAGCTGTACCAAAACAGGCGGCGCGCACTTTGGTCCGCTCACGGTGGCAATCCAGCCAAATCGAAGGCAAAATATGGCACCTTGCAATTCAAGTGACAAATGCACTAGCGCAACAGCATAACTAGCCTAAATAAACTAATGCATGTGTTCACGGCAAGTGTGGGGGATCAATAATCACGAGTGCTGTGAATGCTGGGCAACGTGTGGTCTGACTTTACGCCTCCCTTCCGGGTATCTTAATTCCATCTTAACACCCATAAGCCAATGCAACTTTGAAACCCCCACGAGAACTGAAAAGGCGTTTTGATTTGGTTGCAGAACAATGCAATGCCTCCTCGATAAAAACGGCAATTGTTGCTACTTGTGGTTCATTTTGCCCTGATTTCAATGGTCACCAGTGCAGTTATTTCCTGCACAGAATCTTACCGCTTTACACCTTTTTACTTAGTGTGGTGGTTGTTGCAATGCCAATAGGAACTAAGTTGTCAAGCGTTGAGTATGAAGACCAGCAGACTTGTCTAGCCGCCTAGCCATCTCCCTGAGCATGGTAAAAGAGGGGTGAAGTAGCATTGCGTGGGTGTGTGCTTCAACTACTCAAACACCAAGTATCGCAGTAGAGACTAGGTGCCGTCTAGGTGTGTTAAGTAAAGCCAGACGGGCATCACCAACTCCAATCAGACACCATGTTTTCTAACCTTTCCATTAATCTAACTTAGCCAACCATCCACTTGTAGTGATGGTCCTTGGAAACAAAATATTCAAAGACTCGAAATGAACTCGGAACACTTTAAACTAGGCACATATCACATACGAACGCTTTTCTACCTATCCCTCTCTATGCAAGATTACGTATTTTGCCTGAAAAAAAGTAAAAATACGAGAACGGAGGAATTGGTCTCTACTTTGTTGCCAAATTAATCTACTCTGGAGTATTTACGACAGAATATCCAAGATAGCACTCAATTGTTCACAAGGTCGGGTTCACACGTCTTGAACCCGGTGACCTTTCCCTCATAAAATGTCGTATTTTTAATGGGTCAAAGAACTTACTTCAAGCTGTACCTAGCAAAATTTAAATTCTTTTGAAAAAAAATATATTCTAAATCTGGTGGTTTGAATTGGCATACTTTAACAGGTAGAATATTGTCTATTCGTTCTCCAAATACTTAATTTTGATTTCTTTTTGGTCTTACGTAATTCGTCAACATCGTTATTTAAGATAACCCATATTTACTTCCTAACGCAAAGCCAAACAAAACAGTTCTAATAGACCGAAAGTACTTGAATGGGCGCAATGGGCGAGCTACATTGAAATCAAACTATAGAATCGGTAATTGGTGCGCTAGTCAAATCATCATTGGATAAATAAAACGACTTGTCTATTGCGTGTATTGTCATGTCTTAACCGTAAGTTATCAAGAAATAATCAACAGAAAAACGACAACACCAACACTTACTCACCAACATGATAGTCGCAGTCACCTTGTGAATAATTAAGAAAAGCATAAATACAAATGTCTGGGCGTTTATGGAAAAAAAACATGTTTCAGAAGAAGCATCTAGTGTGGTGTGATTTGTGTTTGATGGCAACCTACCGGTACAGTCGAAACCCTTAAGAGTGAACCACTCAGTGACGCGTCCGTCCATTGAAAGTGAAATGAGGCTCTCCATGTTGCCCGCGGAACGCCCTGCCTCGCGGGAGACCCACTCCAGCTTGCAAATCGGTCCGTAATGGCGTCCAGCGGCATGTCTTGGGCAAACACGAGAAGGCAACTAGTTACCTCACGGTTAATACACCATTCTGCTCATGCAAAAGTTAAGTTCAGCCTGATCGCACCCCAATCATAAATCTGCTCACTGCGCTTACGCACAGCATTTAACGCTACTTCACACTTAGGGTGGTTAGAATACTCGAATTCGCAGAATGGACAGAAGCAGTATAGCATGGACTCAGCGCTTAGTTGAGCGATTGCTCCTAAAGGAAGAGATGCAAATTCTTACGTGGTATCAATGATGGGGATTTTGTTGCCCTTGCGTGCATCAAAGACCATGATTACTCCACTAAACGTCCCCACCTAAAACGGAACAAATCGTTATCAGCAAAATGAGTGAGTTCTACAATTGCTAGAACTGACTGCCAATTCCTGAAGTTCACATGTTTCACGCCTGATCAACATTGCTAAGTACGCATTTCTGGATGTCTGGAATGGCCCATTTTTCAAGTGGTAGCGAGGGGAGCTTGTCTGTGACTCAAGTACGCCATGGCAAAACAATGCCTAAATCTGGCAGCAGTACGGGCGTGAAGTGTCCGACAGTGCTGGCCGACATTAATGCACGATGATTTAGCTTCGAGTCAACTCGATTGCAACTCTTTGATAAGCATTAAGGGCTTGACTACGTTCCTATGTGTGTGTGGATTTGGCCACACGAGAAAAAGGAAATGAAAAATCCAGTATTGCACAATTGAAATAACAAAGCTCGCATTTTGAGTAGACAAATACACCTGGCTGTAATTGACTGTGCTATCATTTTCACTTCCCTGCAGAATTCGGCATTTGGATTTTAAGGTTTCCTACACATGTTGTAAAGCCCTTGGGTGGGTGCGGCGCAGAGGAAACTCTTTTTCCATGCGTATAGAACATCACTCACCGCCAAGAGGTTTTCGTTCCTAGTGGACCAGGCTATCGCAGTGACACCGCTGGGTGTCTTGAAGGATCGCTCGGGGTAGTTGATCTTCTTTATACTCCAACAACACACCAGACCAGAGTGCTGCCTGTCGAACTCGAAGGCGCCGTAGCCCACCGCCAAGATGTCCTTGTTCTTGGGGTTGAATGCTATTGATGTGACGTTTCTTCCCTGTGGAAGAAGCAGAATATGTGCTTCACACAACCGTTGGATTGTTGCTCTTTCACCTAACTTTCACAACACACAAAATACAAGGAAATCTGCAAAGTAACCCTGTCAGAGAATGAAGAAACAGCCGATCAGTACACAAGAGACATTGCAGACTTACGGACTGTGCTGCACTCGAGCCTTACCGCATCAATCTGAATTCCACAGTGCCTTAAGAGTTGCGTACGGTCATTGTCACTAGTTATCGGGCATTGCGTCGTGTAGTTACGTGGATGAAAATCGAAATTACTGAGCTTAAATGCTACCAGCCGGGGATGGCCCACCTCACCAAGAATGTCCCACTAAGCCCCTTTTTGAAAGTGAATAAGTGGTTAATTTTCTGACCTCCACAAAGTAATAAATTACCCGAACATCTCTGGCACGAGTTGCCAGAGTAATAGAGGTAAAAGCATTTTTAAAAAAAACGGATGGACAGGGTTGGGGCGTTACTGATTACGGCGTGGGTCATTAGAAGATTGCAGGCTCTGATTTTATTTTAAATAATTACAGTATTTCCGGCTACGGTCGCTCTGACCAATCACAATGTTCAGAAGAACTGATTATTGATGTTGTTGAATCGCAGCCTACAACAGTGTAAATACAATGCCTGTTCCCGAGACTCGAAGACAGTGTTGAGTTAATCCTACCTTCGTGAGTTGGCAACCAAACTTCCACAGGAGGTAGAGATCCGGCGGCATGTAGGCGGTGCTGGCGACTTTCATTTGCAGATTAACAGGGCTGCCGGGCGCCGGTTTGCTGCCGTTGCTGGCCTTCTTGGCCACGATCGAGGGATTCCCGCTGCCGTGCGCCTGGGCCACCCCGCCCTCCGCGTCGGTGTTCCCGCCGCTGGTTTTGCTCCCATCCGTGGTGGTGGCGGCGCCTGCGCCGCCAGTCGGTGTCGACTTGTCGCGGGCCTCCGCCGTCTGGCCGCCTACGCCCTCACCGGCGATCGCGGACTGGCGCACATGCACCGTCTGGCGTTCTGAAACACGCTGGGCGCCTTCGTCGTTTGCTGCAAAGCGCATCGCGCTGATTCGACTCGGCTTACTCGTAGAATGCGACAGCATGGCGATTGTATCCGACTCGGAATTGTCCGAGGCGCCGCTAGAATCCTCCAATACTAAAAGGATTGGCGTTGATTAGTCCACTAAAATACATCAAACGCTCATGGGTTGGTTAGCCATTGCTACCCTTCCCACTATATCGTCTGGGTGCAAAAGTTGCAACCAAACCAATTTACGAATAACTCAAACAAAGACGTCACTAAGCCCCAGGCTCTGAGCTGAACAGGTAAATAAACGTCCCAGATCGGAAGACTGATCAGCGATTAGCGTTTGGAAGAAAGTATTTCCTTTCGACAGGAATGTGCATCGTCGAATGCAGTTATTATCGGAATCATTACTCAAATCTCCCTCTAAGCACAACAGTATTAACATGCAAGCTGTGAGTGAGACAGCCTCACGACAATGATTCACAAAATTCCAAGTTATTAGAAGGCCTTATGCCACATTAAGCACAGATAAACTCACATCTGCGAAGAATTATGGATTTATACTGTAAATACTTTTCGTAGTAGCAGTTTAAGTTGAGGGCTTTCTCAACATTTTTCATCAGAAGAACCAGATTCGGGTTCTGCAAAACACAACGACAAATAGGAAGTTAAAGTCATGGGAATGAATAATAACTTAATAAAGGAAAAATTACGTCAAATCCGGGAGATTTTGTATGCTCGGTGGAATTAGGCCCCGCTGTGCTGTTTTCACCTGAGACGCCTACAAGCGATGAAACGTTAAACTATTAATAAAATATCAGTAGTAATGTTTTGGGATAAAAAATATCTCACTACGAACAGACGCCGCTTCGATCGTAGCCGTGGACATGACATTGCCAGAGTATGCGGATGGGTTGGCGCCTTCCATTAGTCCCGTGGTAAGTTGAGGTGGCTTGCTTTTATCGATCAAGCTGCGGGGAATCGCCGTAGGCACATCAGCCTTCTTTAGTTTGTTGTCGTCCGCCTCCACTAGAGCTGAGAGTTCCTTCTCAGGTGACATTTGAGGATCTTCTTCTAAAGCATTCAAAATTACTACCATGAATTCAATTCCACCATAAGGCAATGCTTAGGACTTTAAAATGTAGGGATTTTAAGCTAATTTTAGTGTTAAATCACTCGCAAAATTAATAGAATAGAAAGTAATACCGCAGGCGTGACCCATTTACCGCCATTGCTAAAAAACCGCAATCTTAGAGACACAGGGACAAAATTGTAGCCGGTAGCACTCGGTACGAAATACCAGGTCTCTGTGTGATGGGAAAACGAATAATAATCAGGGCTTTTAAAGAAAGATTTCTTTGCACAGAAATCAATCCCTGACAAGGAAAAGAGTTTGATTGGAAGAAATTGAAAATTGGCGAAAAACTGAACCGATGATGAGTATCCTGACAAAATCTACCTGTTTTTTCAGCCAGTTGTTGAGCAGCATCCCAGAGATCACAAACCGTAGAGTTGACTGTCTTGTCAGCAAATTCGATGGGGAGTGTTTGCATCATTTTGACTATCGTGGCCTTGGGCATTGTGTTCATCCCACGTTCAACATACCGATCATTTCCCATCCGCGATGCACACAGCTGAATTAAAAAAACTCAATGTCATGCAGCATAAATTTCTAAATTCTTTTTTAGCAACATGAATGAAAACGAAGTGTATGAATATGGCTCCCTTTTTAAGCAACGGTCACTTTTATTCCAATCGTATCAGCTGACTGGGTAAAGACAAATCCAAAGCCTTCTCACAAACTCAGCAAAAACAACTGGGCAGGATCAGTACCACGGGGTGTGCTCTTACGGCTTTGTAGTCGTTGTTCCGTTGTGTTTGATAGGCCACCCATTCGTCGTCTCGAGACATGATGGAGGGCTGTTGGTCAAAGAGCCAAAGCGTCTCACTCTCCGTCACTGTGATGTAGATCTCCTCGTCTAAGTCAATCTCCTCGGGACTTTCTTCTTCCACCTCCTTCAACGAGTGATCTGTACAAAAAGTAAACTAGTTACCAATATTAAAACAACACTCGACGTGACGCGAAGGAAACGATGGAAGAGACAGCACTTAAACAATCCATGGGTCATCGTAGTGAATCGTGCTGATTCACGTCCATTCTCCGCCAGGTGGGACTGTCTGTTCATACACCCCTGTGCGTCTACCCGCCTCATTCATTTGGCCGTTCACCCATTTGGGCTTTTGGAGGTTCACCCAGACGGCGTCGTCAGCAGCCTCCATTACTTGGACACGTCATGTTATACGCAGTGGAACGGCAGTCACAACTAGGTTGAGCTACTTAGGGAGCGCTCGTTTCTGCCATTTTAGCCTTTTGGGTAACAGTGTAGAGCACCCAGGCCAATATCATGAGGCGGTTCCGGTGCGGTTCGGGACCACAAGTTGCAGTATTTTAGCGTGCGCTGATTGGCAAATCAAGTTGATAACTGTAAAGCCTCAAGTCCACCTTGAAGGAACCCTTTTTTTAAAGAATTCTGCCAAGTCACCTATGTGCTCCTTCGCAGAATCGACTATTCGCCTGTTACCAAAGTACCAAAATTAGGTGCGTCGACTTCGATAAAAAAAGTAAGAAAAGTTATGAACGAATTTAGAAGATGTAAAAAGTTAAAATGAAATCAGCAGTATAAGATTTCATTAAAAATACTTGAAGAGTACCATCTGCCACGCTCTCGTGTTTTGTTGCATGGCTATCCGTCATCTCGGAAGTAGTTTCACTATATGGGTTGGAGACGCTTTGCAGAGACCGTGAGAATGCCTGACCGACGTAAGAAAGAGAGGAAACCTGCAGGACCGTCGGGTCGAGTGTCTAAATTGGAAAAAAAGAGGCCTTATGAAGGGCAGGCATGTCGCGCTCAGTACAATCGCAGTCAATGGAAAATTATCCCAAGGGCTTCTCCATTGCTTGATGCACTTACGTTTTCTTTTTCCATTTGCCTGAGCCTTTTGTCCTCAAAAATCATAGGAACGGGTGTTAAGTCATTGCCGTCCTCATCAAAGATACGCATCTGCTGTTCGTTGAACACATTTGACTTGACACTGCCAGAACCAGCATTGCCTGAAGATGCGGTTGATTTTCTGTTCATAAGTCCGGATTTTTTTGTAGATAAACTCATTTAAAAATCCGAATAACCTGGAATATTAAATAAATTACCGTGTAAAATTATCAAAATACGTGAACTTAACAGCAACGGTGCACAGAAAAAACCATTGTCATAATAACTCTGAACGGTGAATTTATGAGATTCCCAAAACAACGTTCTCAAGAAATCATTAATGGTTAGAAAAAGGGTGATTTAATGAAATCTGAAATGCGTGTCCAAACAATTTGCCGCATCTAACTACACACAAAAAGGTGTGGGTTTGCGTACAACTACAAATAAATTCAGCAGCATTAGTTAACCTAATTAACGCAAAAGAATTAGGCACTTTATAGTTCATGGAACGAAAATTAATAACGACTTGTTTTTCAGATTCTAATGCTTCAAGTAACCACATATTTTATGACCTTTAATAATTGTCAAAGGTTTTCCAAAAGTGTGGAAAAGTTGGATACGTTGTTCTCTGATTAGAAGTAAAGTTAAAGAAAACTCTCAAAATTATCTCAACACAGCACAGGAAAGATATTTCTGCAACAGACAGCAAAATTTAACTGCAATGAAACACTGAGATTAAAGTATTTATTTAATCGTAAAAACAACGGATTAAAGTGTGCAAAGACATGCAAAGCTAGATTTTATTAAATTTTTTATTTTTTAAATGAGGTCTTGTGCAGAGCGGTGTCAACAATATTTGCATCTACTTATTTCAAAAAATAAACAAAATATCGTACTTATTTACACTAATACAAACTAACTTAACACAAACCAAAATTATATTGCAAAAGAGGTGATCCGTCCCAGGTAAAAAAGGGCTTCTGTGCAGACTTCGTGAAAATGAGGATTGTGTACGGTTATCATGTGCTTAAAAACAGGTGCTGTGTTAGGCCTCATTCATAATTGACAAGGTAAAGGCTTCTCTATTTTTCATCAATATTTAATTTTTAGTCCAAATATAAAGCACAACGTCAGATTAACTATAAGGTGATTTCAAATTTTGCAAAGATTGATTGATGGAACGGGATGTAAAAACAAAATTTGCAAGTAATGTTTAAATCACTTTAAAATCGAGATCGAAGGCAAGCAAGTAAACACAAGATAGTTTGAAATGTTTAGACATAATACAAATCATGGTACACTGCTTGCTAAAGAGTCGAGCACCAAGATCCAGGAGACATAAGCAAGCAGATAAAAACAAAATAAAAAAAATATATGTTCTACAATAGATATTTTAAATACAAAATGCATTAAATCATTCGTAAATGCCAATAATAGTTTGCTCTTATTATTAATATGTTTAATTCATTTGCGAAACAATTTATTTTTTGGCTTCATTAGAAAACGCGATGTAAATAAATGGTTAAAACAGCACTTGCTATTTGAATACAAATCGATGCATTTTAACAACTAATAATGTTTATAGAAATATGCTTATTAATAAAACAGTGCTAAAATTTTCACCATGTTTAATTTATAGACATGTTTAAAGACACTAACAACATTTTTTAACCATGTAGTGTTGCGATTAGGACGACGTTGGAAAATTAATAAGCCTTGCGTACGGGTTCAAGAAGTCTTTACAAGCATTATTTAAGTTTTTATAGTTGAACAATAACAAGAACTACATTATTAATCCTTTGATGTTCATAACCGTGTGATTTAAGCACACTGACAACAGCTCAGTCAGGAATCAGATAGAAATACGAAAGCCACGGATATTTCCTTAGGAGGATCAAATTTGATTAGGTTGCTATTGTAACATATCTTAAAAATTAGTTTGCAAATTATCTGTTAAGAATCCTTGGAACTTCATTTGCAATGGCCTTCAGATTGGACAGGTTTCCGCTAACTGCAACTAGATTAAAATCAGAAAAATTGAAATGTCATTGCCCTCTAATAATAATACGATTAGATTGATGGCATCCATCACAAAATCAAAACTCTAATTCTTAAAACCCTACAATATAATATTCATGGAATATCAAATTATTTTGAATGAAGTTTAATAGACTTACAATTCCAAAATATGGGAAGAGTTGCGCGAATAGCCTGTATCTACATTACTGGGCTACGACGGCTCAGAATATTATGAATTCTTTTATGTGAGGGAGTGTAAGCGCTTCAATTATCATATTTTTAATGAGGTGCGCCATGTGCGAATCACGAACTATAAATCTTGGAATAACTCCGGCTGGCCAAATTTTTCTGCTCTTCGGTGTTTTACGATTCCAAGTGATCTGGGGGATTTAAAGGCCTACAGCTGGTTGTGGTAGATACGCTTTTATGATCGTAGAATTTGTTTTGGTCCTATTCATAATCTATTACTTACTGAGCACAACCTTTATGTTCTAGCAGCTTTCGCCAATCAGGGTGCACGAAAATTAGGCAGTGTGGTCGAAAAGATAAGCTGTCTCTAATTAATGATAATTGCTAGATGATTTTGTGCAAAAAATAACAGAAGTCACACGCCTTCTTCTGCATTCTACTCACGTATATGTTGTCATTTAGAAACCCAGTACAAGTCATGAATTTTCTACAATGGCTTATTTATGAATTGAATTCTTGAGTCATTATCACCAGTCCTCGAAAACTATTCATATTGATTACTGCACCAACTTGAGTGACCGCAGAGACGGAAGTCCCATTTAGGAAAATTATTCTTTAAGCTAAGCGTTAAGTATAACATTACGCAGTCCTTCATCATTTCTCGAAAAATTGGGTATAAGCGGTAATCGAATGCTTGGGTACAATTTAGGAAAATTAAGTCATGGTGATTATTCGCCCTTATTTTTAGACTACTGTTCTGATAGTCAAAACTCAGTTATTGGAACTTATGCAGCAGTCTTTTATCATTACTGCCTTAACAAAAAATGTAAATAAAGCGAATAATTTAGCCATCTATCTTCTGACACTTTAGTGAATTTCTTTCTTCTAAATGCAGTAATTACTTTAGAATTTAATTATTGTGAGCCTATAAGCAGTGGAAAAAATATCCAACCGATATAACCTAGATTTTCAAGCTTCCGTGATAGATTTGGGAATATAACCAAACGATAAAGAACTGTCTTGGCAGTGGCTACCTTCGATTAGTGATCCGCGAAAGTCATTGGTTCTTATTTTCGTGCGTCCTATAGGCTGATGTGGGATTTTGCGTTGCCACTTCTGACATATGTCGACTTTTCTTTCTCCACTCTTACGGATTCAAGTAAGTTTATCCATTTAACTACCTCAAACTCGACAATTTATGCTATATTGGATTTTGACTCGTTTGTTAGACGAAAGCTCAACGCTGCTTTTGTCAAGAGTGATGTGGAAACAAAGAAGTCCTATTTATTCATAATTTCAATGCGTTTTTCTGTAGAAATGAAAAAAATATGGTCTTTTGGTGCTTTGCATTCCTTTCTGTTGATCATGTTAAATTCAATTGTGATAAACTTAAAAGTTGATGACGATATACATAAATTTTGCACTTTTCTCTTATGTCGATGGGGTTTTCTTTCATTTAGCCGGTGCTTTTTGGTCGGTGCTTTAAATTCTCTATTGTCGCTACTTCGAAGGGTGTGACGCCCGATTCAGGAGCCTCTGTGACACTCACTCCAGGTGGTCTTCCTCGCTTCCATGTACCCCTGCCTTCACGGAGCGAAACCTGCATTTTCGCTCTTCGGCCTCTTTCAAATACGATTGGTGACCTAGTGAAAGCGATTCAAGAAGAGGACAAGGGGGTGGATCGTGTCGTATTCTTGAGTACAGGTGCGTTGCCGACTCTGAAATACTTTTCCTTGGTTGACTTGAATGCGGACAAAAATTAGAAAAAACGTCTACATGGCGATGTTGTGGTTATTTTCTGAGTTTGATATGGTGGTATCAAATCGATATTGTTTTTCTTTTTTTATTGAAATTCGGTCGTGTGCCTCATTTGCGGCAGTTGATTTGTTACTTATTATCGACTTGCGATTAGGGATGGTTTGTGCATTTGCTCTCTTGAAGGTTTTCCAGGAAATTCGGAACTTTTTGACATATAAAAAACGTTTAACTTGTTTTTTTTAGCTTAGAGACTATTTTTGGGGTGTTCTTTACACGTGTATACAACTGTTGTTTGTAAAAGCATAAATAAATATCTGTTTTGTCTTCATTTATAATAATTTTATGCTCTCTCGCAGTTCAGCTTCCGATGCTCACCATTTCTCGACAGCCATATATCACTCGGTTGTTCAGTTTCAATTATCTATGAATACCACTTCACTATTTTTTGTATTACAAAAAGATTGCTCTTTGTCTCCGTTACTCTTTGCCTGTCTTTGTTTTTTTTCTAAAAACTCCAAAAGGAGCCTGTGACTATGTCATGACCTTGATGTGTACCTGCTCTGTCGGCGACGTGAGATGTGTCCTAGAGACCACCTGTTGGAGATCCAATTTTTTGTCTCCCTGTTGTCCTCTTTTCTGTAGAAATTGCCCAACAGTTCCAAAAATTCATGAGCCAACGGTCTGTTTTACGCCTATCGTGCAGACAACTTCGTAACTATCGTCTACGTAGCGATCAAGTGAATTGTTCAAGCTCTTGATATCACTCTCTATGGCCGTGGCGAGTATATTAAAGAGTTGATAGTTTAAGAAACAGAGCTTGGGTTTGCCAATCCACAAACCTGCATCTGTTTTCTTGCCTGTGTGGATTTCAGCAGGTGATTTCCAAAGTCCTCGAGCTAAGGCATGACACACAAAGTAAACACATAACCATCTTTTCCATGGAGCCCTCGGTGCGTGTGTCTCCTTTGAGGTACTGTTGTGAATCGTGTTTATTTATACCACTTAATTTCGTCGCTCCACCTCCGACACAGGGTTCCCCTTTTCGCATCATGTCGCCAGCCGCGCGGATCCTCAACTCCCCCTTCACTCACACTGATATTTATCTTGGATTGTCCTCACACCTAGGTCTTGATGTTAGCGCATGTATGACTCACACATCCGAGGTATAACTACACACGCGCAAACCCCACGCACGACACGACACCAAAGTGGTTGAGCTCGGAAGTAAACGGTTGTGTCCATGTCCTCTCCGGTCTTTTCCTTCATCGCGGGTATCGGGCAAGCGTAATCGGGTCAGGGTTAATAACGTGGCCCCGGCGTGGTTCAAGACCACATGCTGGGGCCCACAACAGCACCTGAGTGTGTGGTTGAGTGACTATTCTCACTCATGCTTGAGTGGATTTGTTTAATTTTCATCCGGTGATTTCCCCTTTTCTTCCCTTAGTTAAGCCAGGTCATGTTTTTCATGGGATTACATCCATTTCAACCACTTAGGCTGGTGATTTATTTGGTGCGTAACTCTACGTTCACATTGGTAGAGGTCATGCTATTCCAGGTATGTTCTAGTTTTGAACCAATCAGGTTTCGCCAATGTTACTGCACTCGGTCCTGTTCTAATGCACCTCAATTACGCGTACAAATTTCATAGCCTAGCGTTGACAATTATGTTTGCTAAAATTGTTACTTGCGTTCCTGTGTAGTAGCACGGGTTTAATTGTGTCACATCCTAACCTATTTGCTAGAGAAACCAAATAATTAGCAATGTGTATACCGCTTTTCATGTATTTATTATACAAATTTGGCAACCCCCACGTCTCGTCAGAATTGATGCCTACACGTTTTAGGGCCTGGATTTCTCGTAAGTGGAACAACGTAATGCTGTTCACACTTACGTGGTGTGTTGATTTTACGATGAATTCCGCTTAGTCTGTTGGCGACAAAGTTTTGGGATAATCTCGTCTTTCAGCCACACGTCTTTCAGGTACATTAGTCGCAAGTCGATGTAGCAATGCTTCCACGTAGGCTTATTTGCCGTGGTTTTAGGACGGTTGTAGTTCCACCGATCGTGTCAGCTCTGCTTAAGTGACTCATTTCTCGGATTCGATTTTCGAAAAGGGATCTTATGTGCTATTCAAAAGCATGAAATAACCAACCAGGTGTACTGTGTTGTGGATCATTCTATGTTAGTTTCCTAATTAGTGATGTCAGACTTAGTTGAATTGATAGACAAGTTGCGCCTTCATTGGTAATCTGTCAATAGTGCTGTCGTTAACTGTGTTCTCTTTCACGAACTGGGAGTATTTCCTACCCTAAACCGCCGTCGTTAGTGTTTTTTTAACCAACTCACAGTACTTGATAGAAAAAAATTTATCGTTCAATCTGCTTCTCAAATCCTAGAGTAAATCCCTATTCATAAGCCCGCTCTTCTGTCATTGAAGACAACTTATTTCAGTGTCTGGATGCGCTGGAGGTCGCTGACTAATTAGCCAGCAATTCTGTCCCAAGCACGTGATTTTCACTCGTAGAGGCGGTTAGGGAAAGTGGTGACGCCTCGGCTTGTTGGCCATGAGCCTGAAGTGCTTCACTTCACAGAGGCGACTTGGTTGCAGTGATGGACTCTCGCTTGGCACGCATTCAGCTCATTCGCATTTCCGTTAATTGGTGCTACCCACGCTCACTACCCACTGCCGAGCCCGCAAGGTAGACTTGCGTAAGGATTGCGTCACAAAACTGTGAAATGCCGAGGTCATATTCAAGTATACACTTTAAATATATTTTGGTGTTTTCGCTCCTCGCCACACCTATTTCATGAAGTACCTCACAAAACAATTTCACACGCCGTGGTTTGGTCGATTTTTCATCGCACCATTCCTCTACTAAATTGTTTTTAGATGTAATCTTCCATAATAAGGTGCTTTCATGGCACTATGTTGACGTTAAGCATAAAGTATCGCGTCTATTGGGTTGGACGTTGAGACATGCGGTAACACTATTAGAAGAGTGTTTGTAAAATCATGCTCTCACACATTATTAGTGATGTTATTACTTTAGAGTTAAACTATAACATTTGCTATCCCGAACTACGTTATTTAAGCTTTCTATTTTCTTCCATTGGCGTACTTTCGGTTGCAAGCCTTTTTCCCTAATCATATGTGGTCTTACATTCATATTTCATAGCTTTAAAACTTAGACTAGGTTACTTTTTTACGTGCTCTACCGCATCAATTGTTTTGCATGAATTAAGGGCATCCGTCTTTGTTTAACCGTTTCAATATTTCCGGTTTCCGGGTCAAATAGAAGTGCAGCAATCTTCCAAGCACTTCTGTGTGAGGCAGTCCTGTGTTTGTGCTGCCTTGTGGGATGTAATGCTTCAGGCATTGTTTCTCGAGTGCATTTGATGAGAGACGTTTGTATACTGTTGCGTTTTGTGTCCTAATTGATACTAAGACCAACTTCGACCGAATTTTTCAGCTTAATCAGCACGTATTTTGGCTTTTTTATGTTCAAAACTCGTTAGGTAGTGAATCCACTAGTGTGATATAGTAATACAATGCGCGTTTGGTACGAGTTTATTGACAGTTTGCTGTTTGAAGAGACCAATTATCATTTCATGGTTTGAATTGGTTTTTTTATCGTCATCCGCTATTGGTTCTTGCGTTTCTCGAAGTAAACAGATTGGCTGTATCCGTGTGCTTTCTCACGTTCAAAAACATATCAAGAGATGCTTGGTAGGCAAAGTTCAAGAATAGTTGGCGTATCAAGTCCATCCAGGAATCGTGCATCGTTTGCCTGGTGCGCTGTGTTGCAACGTGTTGGACCTTGCAAACTGACTCCCTGTTTGATCGCGTTATGCAACCCATCAGCACAGTTGACTCGCGGTAGGTTCTAGGCGATAAGGATTGTCCTAGAAAATTCTCAGTGTCCTTGTGTTTGTGTTCAGTTTGCTGATTATGCATTTACTTAAATAGTTGGCCCTATCAGAAAAGGGACTTGTTTGACTGACTTACTTTCTTACAAGGCGCGTCTAGTCTCCACTAATGGAATGCATTGCGCCTGTGTGTGTGGGACTTGGTGAATCACAGCTGATTCTTGCGCTAAGCCCCGACAACCAGAAACTACATATGATCACGCTAAATGCCACGGTGTTGTATCGTCATCAAATGAAGTCAGACAGACGAATCGATGTGGTTTGCACTTCTGCCAAATAATTTATTCTCGTCTTACTGCCAGTCGACTCCGGGCCATGTTTGTAGGTTTTGTCAAGTGTGGATAGCTTACTCTTCCGATAGTTCTTTTCCGTGGTGTGTCAATCGTGTCTTATTAATAATTGATGTACTACGAATGGCCAATTCCAGTAAATGCGTATTTCGGGGCACAGATTTGGCCTCGTAATTGCTTATTCTAAACTTCGAAAAAAGCAGCAAGTGACATTCCCGAGATCAAATCTGTACCCTGTAGTATGTATTTATTAAAATTGGCCATTCACAGTACTAATTTGCGGCAAGAAATGGCATTGCGATTGAATAATGGTTTGGCAGCTGTTGGAACTCAAAGTGGGCAAGCGAGGTTTTGCTTTGCATGTTTGGCTTTCCTGCTCTTGGTTCTACGAGTACTCTTAGCCTAAATTAGCCCTTTCATCTGGGAGGATAGTGACTTGTCACATTTCCTAACTGTTGTCCACGCTAAGAAGGTTTCCTTTTGCAGTCCTTTGACATGGCACTTTGAACAGCCTAGTTGGATTCGTGGTGTCCGGTTCTGACTTTGACTTGAAGCGACCCACTCGTTAGGCGATTTCGCCTGTCCCAATCGGCCGAGTTGTACGCATAAATGAGATGTCTGCCATCAGTAAACCGCACGAGACGGCTAGCTCACGCTTAAGGTAGGAGCGACAATCCGACACGCACGCGCTATGACGTTGAGACTTAGACTTTGGTGTCGCTGTCATCGACAGGAAGTAAACCGCGGCGTTGTGTTGCCTTGGTTGCTCAAGTCAATTTACTGAAACCGACGCTCAAATTGCAACGTCCGGCCTCCAAGTTCTTAGCATTGCAAAATAGTAATTAAGGAAAGGTGTTCACTTTGCGCCTTGTTAATTGCCTGCCTTAAATAGTCGTCGCGAAAGCGAACAAATGTGCATGTCATGTGTTTTGTTCCATTTGGCTTTTTAGATGGCCTCCGATTCGCTAAGGCGAACAACATTGAAATCCTACTGGCTAACGATTTTGTTGTCGAAATCAATGACAAGAAATTCCCCGTGAGTGTTGCCAACTTGGGTAAGTTCTAAATTCACTTCATTAGTGCAACTACCAGTGTATTACTTTTTGCACATTGAACGTCGTATAACTGTATTACGAAGGAAGGAACTTATTCATCAGGAGTCGTGCAAATCGGTCGACGTTTGAGTTTCAGAAAAGCTCCTCCAAGGCCTGCGAGTGTCGCTGGGGTGATTTGGCTAACTCCGAACACTGTCCAATCATGTTGCCAGCGTGTGAACTCCGTTGTGTTATGTGGTGACAACCACTTGACGACCCAACCTGTACGCTGGATGAACCCTTAAGCAGGACACTGTGGTTTTATGCTTCGCACCATTCCCATGTAAACTGTAAATGCCTGCCTGACTTCGGTAGGGCTGCGCTCTCTGACAATACCAATGCGCGGGCTCCGCAGCTGTTGTGTGCGTGCGTGCGTGCGTGCAGCACTGCTTTCATGTCGAATGTCACACTCGTGTGGTACCGCAGGGCATTCGCGTTTCGCTTACTCTGCACACCTACACGTCTTTAGTCTGGGGAAATCATTCAGCCCATGTTCTATCGCCACAAGTTTCCCCTTAAAGATTTCTTTTGGCTTTACGTCTAGTCTTTTCGTTCTTTGTAGTTGCCATCAGAAGCTTGAGGCTTAAATTTCAGGGGAGAACTTGACGCCTTCGAATGAGCTAGAGGAGGAGTGTAGCGTTTACGATTGCAGTTGTAGCTTAGGCAGAGTTTTGTGGGGAGAATTACCGCCCTAGTCACACGAATTTGTTAGTGTGTATCGCCTTTCCACCGCCTTGTGCTTGTTCTAAGCCGGTGGCCTTTAACACAATCAGCTATTAACGTTGGGAGGTTGTGCATGCGTGCGTTCATATGCAATTACGCGGACGTGTGGTGTTAGCTTTTACATCTTGCAGCATAATAGGATTGAGCAACAGTGGTGCTCCGTTTTGTGTTACAAACGAATACTCAGTAAATGAATTTGAAAGTCAGCGCCGGTCTACTCCATTATTTCCCCTTTTGTGTGCTTCCATTTGGATTTCTAATTACTTGCCATTGTTGGAACAGTTGTCTCCTTCGCTTCTTGTGTAGCTTATAGTGTAGTTTTACTGTAGTTTTCGTTCATGTACTCTGCTTTTCATACTTATTGTCGTTCCCTTTTAATCTGGATTGATTTTGACTGATCGACAGTCCTTCAAACAGCTATGCCCTTCCTAACGAGAGTAGGGATTGTCAGTTTGTGGAAGTCATTATACCCCCTTCCTTCTTCAACACCCGGAATCCAATATTCGGAAATTCATTTTGCGACAACATGACGGACAAGAGAGACCCCTTTTTTGAACGCCAGCTTCTCAGCTCCCCAATGTAAATTATGTCATGGCGTAGTTTTGTTGGTGCTTTCGTGTGCGATGTGCACTTTTACGGCGTTTCTGCAAGTAGACAAAGGTCTTTTGTAGCGCCAGTCTGTCAGTCGCCTTCACCGACACACACCCGGTAAATCGCCCTACCCCGGAACACCGAATCATGAAACGTGCCCACATCGATGAATTCTGGCCCTTTCGAACGTATTGCTAAATCAAAATGACCAAATCAAGGTTCAGCAAGGTGCTACCTATTTCTAATGAGTGACATCATCAGAACTACAACCTGCTTCATCATTTGGTGTTTAGGCTGTAACCAACGTACTGCATTACCACGCAGTTTGATTTTATTCGGTTTGTTTGCCACTTTATGCACATTTTGAGCGTGGTTTATGTGACAAAAACCCAAAAATTTCACGTTGCATCTAAAAGGTCCGACACGATTGGAACACGTGACATTTTTATATGTCAGTCGAAATTTCTAAGCAAAGCCGCCTTACCATTGTGTTAAAAGATTCCGGTGGAATTGGCCGATGCAGAACAACGCGCAACATGTATTGCACGTTAAAATTTAGTCGATTAAGGCGTCTGTGTGGTCGCGTTTCACTACATTTGGCCGCCTGTCCTCAGATCATTCTCATTATCAGTCCATCCGAAGCCAGCGCAAGCCTGTTCCGCTGCTTGCAATTGTTGAGGAAACGAGTTGAGTGATTAACCAAATATTGGAGCAGTGGCGATGCTATCAACGTCGCATCGAGCCTGGTGCCTTCTACAGTCGGATCTTGGGTATTCTGCCAAATAACACAGAGGCACGTTTCTATTGATCGAACCGCATCTCAGTGTCCCTCCTTTTTGCTCTTTTTTGCAGTTTGACAGTTCGGATAAAGGTAACCTCGTCACAAAAGCATGCTGAATCAGAAAGGCAGTAGTTTGAGCGTGAAATACATTCTCGTTTGACGTGTATCCACTGTGCTTTAACTGCACCCTCACTTGCCACCTGGTGCTCAGATCAGACGGAGATTGTCACTATCGACGGGTTTGACATCCTGACCTTGCTCACGGAGTCATAAACACGTGCGTGTGTGTGTAAGTGCTGTGTTTTCGGTGGTTGTAGGCCTACCGGAAGACGTCACTCCACAGGAACTGGGTACAGTTCGAGTTCTCGTTAACCGCTTAAACACCGTCCTCACCGCAGACGACATCAACGCCGAGAACGAGAGGGAGATCAAGCGACGCATCGCCGATGTCCAACACCAACTGGAACCCTTCGAGGAGGTACTGTGGCTTTAAATTTACTGCTTTTTAACGCTTTTCATGCTACAGTGCTTCGTTTTAGTTTTGTAATCGAGTGGCAACGACTAGAGGCTTTCTCTTCCGTAATTTAATGCGTGGCAACCCGAGGACTTTGTCGAGGGTTTGCTTTTGACGGCTAAAACAATAATTCAATGCCAGTGACTGGCGATTGAGACGTCTTCACACTGTGTCCTCTGACGCGCTTACTTTGTGTGGTCGGTGTCCCATTTTGTTGACCTGCAATTTCGCTGGTCACTGAAAATAAGTGCCTCTTTGTTGGGGCCACTGAATTTCAACTACGAGATTTTGAACCACCCCAGGTCCCAGATTGTCAAACTAACTTTGGATGAATACATTAGTAGCTAGATCGAGATTTTACCTATTTATTTGAGCAACTTCATTTTCACTAAAATGATCTTCTCCGTAGTGGCTTTGGGTGGTACAAAAGGTGGCGCCGTTTCATTTATTTACTTATCTCCCTAATCATGTCGGATGTGACCAAATCACTGTCCACACACGGGCGTGTTCGTGACACCAGGTACATGCATTGCTGCCAAAATTACCCACACATAGTGACTCATCGGGGGTAGATCTGGTGCAATGGCATTAGACTGAACACACCTGACCTTCTCTTGTGATCAAGTCTGCCCTCGCATTTGCAGAAGCGCCTCCAGCTGGCGGAGAAGGCCTCGGTGCGGACCCGGCGTCTGACGTGGCTCGGCCTCGGCGCGATGGGTCTGCAGTTTGGCCTCCTCGCCCGACTCACGTGGTGGGAGTACTCCTGGGATATCATGGAGCCCGTCACCTACTTCGTCGGCTACGGCACCACCATGGCCATGTACGCGTACTACGTGGTCACGCGACAGGTAACCCCTCTTCACGTCTCTGTGGCTGCTGAGTAATTTCCATGCGGAAGTCATTTCGACAATCACCATTGTGAAGTATCCACTGGCTTCGCTTTAAAGTGGTCGGATGCAACACGTGACATTACATTGGTATCATGTGTGTTCTTCTCTCAACAGGACTACAGCTTTCCTCAGGTCTTCGACAGAGAGTACCTGAAGACGTTCTACAAGAGCGCCACCGAGCAGGGCTTCGACGTTGAGCGCTACAACAACCTGCGCGACATGCTGGCCGAGCTGCAGAGCGATCTGCGTCGGCTGCGAGACCCGCTGCGCCTCAACCTCCCCCTTCAGCAGACCAAGTACCTCGTCAAGGACTCCACCGACAGCAGCCAATAGAGCCACGAGAAACCGGTTATTTCCGTCTTCTCTTCTGATTTATTAACTTTCAGCAACTTTTATGCTTCCGCCTGTTTCTCTTTTCTTTACTTACCTTGCCTGTGCATGTCAGAGATGAAGTAAACGTGTAGCATACGTGTGCATTGACATTTAATATGTTAGAACAACTATGGTATACCTAGGATGCTTACCATGGTGATGGTTTGCGCCATCAGAGCTACGCGTTAATGTGGCCCAGTGCTGTTTGCGACAGCAATGTTACCTGACAGGCGTACGTGCGTACTTTGCACTGAAAGAAACTTCATGACTATGTCAAACGGCTTCAAAGGGTGTCCCCTCAGCACCTGCAGGCGGTCTCGACCTGGCCTGGGAAGTCGCAGGACTTGCCTGCACCCAAGTGGCACAGTCAAGGTCATTAAACAAGCCTGAGGTACGCGGGGCCTCCTGCAGCCGCTGATGCCCCTTGGGTTAGTTTGCCAGACCTGCACCGGGGTTCTTTTCGAAGTGCCGAATTCGCCAGCACGGCGTTAATGTAATCGGTTAAATTTGGCGTTTGGCATCACTTCAAATATGCCGCGTTTTAATGACATAATCCTTGCACAATGGCCATCTGGTCAGAAGTTAGATTCCACGGCAACAGGGTGGCTACGTGGTAAACGAAACCCACCGGTGACACGCTGTCTCGACTGGACTGTGGGACAGCAGCGGACTGATGTGAAGCAGTTTAACTCGGTGCTTGATAACGAAGTCACGACAGGTCACGATCTGTTGCATGTTTGGTGAACTGGTTCACTTTTGAGGGCTTATCAAGGCAATGTATCGTGTAAACTAGTTCAAATTCAAAGCGATGAGTAAACGTGCTGTAAAATCAGTTCATATCGTCGCGTGATAATCATGATGACTCTAATTCGTGACCAATTGCTGACCCACTTACATTGAATGTCAACTTGTACCAGGAGATGCTACTTGTATTAATTAAGTAGAGTGGTCGGAATAGTTACACATTTTGGCGGGGTTGTGACAGCTGACTCGTGCACACATAGCAGCCTGGTTGGGGGACAGGCGCATCACAAGGTCCTGATTGGAGCTGTGGAGGTGCCGGTGTGGCTTCACACACGCACTGTTGCGATGCCGGTGGGTGTGAGAGAGTACAAGTCCAGTTTCCCTCGACATTTTGAATGCACCTACAAAGAAACATAAATTCGTAAGGTTGTTGAAGCCAACTCGCAATCAAGCTCGATTTCTACTAGGTTACCGCATTACTTCATTGGGACTCTAACAAGGTGCAAACACTGCAGTAATGTATTACAAATTCCGAATGCATCATTCTCGGAATCCGCTTTAATAAGTCCCGAAGGGGCGGCCTGCACTACCCCGGTCGCAGCTTGACTTAAACCTCCACTCCCTCGCCTTTGAGGTTTGTGTGAGAACAAATGTTTATGTGAGGAATCAAAATGGCATGTTTTTGGACCAATTAAATTTCACCCGAAAGTTGTCGAAATCAAACGCTGATGAGATCAGGCTAAGTGTGCAGGAGATCTGACAAGTCGAGACTGGCTCACTGGCACGTCGATGTCGCTCTGGTAAAACGCACTTTAATGACCCGAACAGTGCAGTAATTTAGGGACGGTTGGATGCGTCAAATCGAATCAATAATCGAATTTCAGTCTTTTCAAAAAATACCTGTGCCTTTTTTGCGAATTGTGTAAAATTTCATTGAACTTACTTGTAATCTGGAACACGATCTTCAGTTCTACAAGCAAGAAAAATGTACCTTTTTGTGGCGGCAGTAAAAGGGATCCAACGTGCTTGGTTTAAGTCACAAAATAAATTTAGAACATTTAAAAATTTTGGTGTACTTTTCACCTAATTTCTCAGTGTTTTAGCAATCTACATTTAGATCCAGTTAATAGTTTATTAATTTCCACTGCTTTGATAATAAGGATTTGTATTAGTCTGTAGGGTAAAGACTTGCAAACAGGTGACTAAAACACATTTACAAAAATTGTGGTCCCTGGTGATGATTCTCCTGGGCTAGTCCCAAGTGTGGTTGGGTGTCGGTAACGTTTTGCTGACTGGAGTAGGGCTTTTTGTACTCGTCAAAAAATGCACAACAAAAAAGAAAAAAAACCAACCCTGGTTCACCGTGCAATTTTCTCCTGACGTCTTCAAGAGCTTTTCTCAGTCTGAAACAAAAATGCGTAGACAACTACAGCCCCTTGAAGTGGACATTGAGCAGAAACTGCGCAAATGTTTGAGAGTACGAGACAGCTCAGGCGGCGTTTTGCATTACTTAGCACTTCTGCCTCGAGCTAATAAATTATTCAATGCCGGTACAGAGTATAATGCTGAGGATGTAGACTGCATCATCCATAAACCTTGGATTAAAGTTATACAGTTTTATAAAATGACCTCTGTTAAGGATGTAATTGAAAAGGATGTGGCCATTTCTAACAAGTTTGGCATTTGAGGAATCACTTGACACAAAAAACCGCATGCTGGTTACAACTCACTCTGCATCCCAATTCGTTCGCGTTACCACTTGCACCAATGCTGAGCTGAAAGTGGCAATCAAATGGTAGAAGACATTGCATGTTTGTTTGTTTCACAAATAAGTTTAAGGTCTCAAGACTCACTCATCGGGTCCCTGATGCAGCCGACGAGTAGCAGAGCTTTAAAATGCAAATGGAAAATTATTGATTTCTAATTGCAAAAGTCGTGGAAAAATAATTAAACACTCCGATACGTGCAAACGTATTTTATCTTCTGACTGTGAAAAGATGTTTTGAGTAATTGGCTGTTCTAGATTTTGTATCGTGGTAGACGAACACACGGGTAATAGTTGAGCATTTAAGATTCATGCGATTGAGACTGTAAGGCTAATTGGGTAACCGTGGGAATCACACAAAACAGGCCACAACAGGTCCAAAGAACGATTCACATAAACCTGTAAAACGAGAATAAGTCATTGCGGAGCAGATTTCTCACATTTCAAGAAGACTCAGGTGGCATAATACTTAGGTTCGAATGAAAACAGCAAAGTCCATGAATTTTGTCCACACCCATTTCACGAAATCTTTTTATTAAACCGTTGCGAATATCAACAATCGTATCCAGTAATGACTCAAATAGCACAACAACGTTTAGGAGAACGTTGGCAAAACGCGGAATTGAGTTTTCCCATGGGTTCAATACAAAAGACTCCCAATTCAAGTACATTATTAAAAAAACAACATTTAAACTAGGTAGGCTTATTAACCTTGTAAACTTAGCATAAATCCTCCGTTTTGTTTCATTCCCACGGGATTAAAACTCAAGCATCCAAACGAGCAGGCATTTGCATTGGGGAAGTAAAATTTAGAGATTGTGAAAATGATAGAAGATAGGCAAAGAATGTAAACAGATGCCCTGGACAGTTGGATTCACAGTTAAGTGTCACAGCCACTGCTCCAAAAAAACCACAAGCAGAACAAATTACCTGGTCAAATTCTGAACCTTAGATAGTCTAAGCGACTTCGGAGTGCAACAGACATTAATAATTGAGAGAAATTAATAAATGAAAAGATTCGCATATCTGACTCACCCTGCCTCAGATCTCATGGGAGAGCCACAGGCGCTATAAACCAATGCAAAAATAATGTTTAGTCAATAGTCCTTTCAAAGAAGTCAGACCTGCCACAGGTTGGCAAGCAGTAACATGCATTTGAGCCACGTTGCCGAAAATCGAAATATTTTTCTATCAATTCTTAAATAGGCCTCAAACATAAAACCATAGTAGAAGTTGGGCACCCGTTGGAATGATCTCTCAAGTAGGCTGGTCGCCTTGTTTTCAAAAATGTTTTTAAAAATGTTTTTTTTATACGTGCTGCGACCCCTTCTTGAAGTGACCGTCGCTCCACTAAGCATATCTAGTGTTGGTCCGTTAAATTATCCAGTTGGCAAAATCAATAAATCCATTTGATTATGGAATTTCGTCAACTGGATGAAAGTGAATGTGGTGAAATTTTTAATTTTCTGGGACAAGAAGTCGTGCATTTTGGTATTGGAGGGAATTCAGTTTGATTTTTATGCGATCAATTCGATTACTTTTTGAAACACATCATTAGATTATCACAATTATAAGGTCTCTTTTACAACGCATTAGTGCTTAGACCATCTGGCCAAAATTGTCAGCTTTTCCAAATATTCGAGAATAAAAAGGTTCTGTCTCCACAGAAAATGCTTGAAGTGAGGGGAAATGTGGGCATGCTTTATTAAGAGTCAAAAATGTTGGTTCTTCTGCCCTTGTAGACACATTGGCGGACAGTCAAGACAGGAATGAATAGAGCAAGTTCGAAGTACGGCATATTGTGGGTGTAAATACAAGCGTTTTCATATACAAAAGACAAAAATGTGAAAAGTGAGGCGAAGAAGTAAAAGAAATAATTCAGGATCTCAGCGGTAATTTTTGGTGATCTATTCGGAAAAGTGAACCAATCAAGATGGCCGACTTCTAGATTTGTAATTGACCAATAGGAGAGGCGGAAAGGGAATGACAGTGAGTGAGTTTTCGAGCGGTAAAAAAAATAATGAAAACTAATGATGCCATTAACCAGATGTAATTTCGTGAGTTACGGAACAATAAATTACATTGAACAACCTATTTGTCACTTATTTGAACCCATATTCCGAAAACAATTTTTGCTTCGAGGAGGCCTCTTGACGTTTGTAAGTTAGAGACTCAATTTGGACATCTTCAGACACTGCTAGGAAAAGATTAGACTTTGTGACCAAGACTGGCACGAATTAGGGACCAATGAAAAAGCTGCACCAGAAACCTGGTTTTTCCTCCTTACGTACCTTTATGAACATGGATTTGGCCAAAAAATGCACTGTCGACCTAATGAATTGTTTGTATTTGTAGGATTCAATCTGGTGACAACTTAATCGCTCAGCCACGTGAGCCAATTGGCTTGTAGCGTCGTCATTGTCGATAGCGCCGATCGGTTGACAAGAACAAAATAAACTAAAGATGGGCAAAGGTTAACTGAAGGTGTAGAATACTAATATGGAGAAACACTTTCTACCATGAAGTTTGGCCAATCCGACACCACCTAAAAATTTCCACGAAGGACGCGCGTGTTTGTGTGCACGTGCGCTTCAAGCTCTGAGGCTCCACCAGCATTTAATCATGCGTAAAAGGAAAAATAACATTGAATTCATATCGACGAGCAAAACTGTTTCAGTTAATTTTACTCGAAAGTTTGAAAATGCTCAGTATGAGTTTAAATTCCCGTACAACGGCAATTTAAAGTGCAGAAAATGCCGGAAATTAGTGACTGAATTAAGTTGGCCTCGTCACCTCACAGTATTGCAAGTTCTCCGTCAATCGGTTTAAGTACGCGCGCCTTTTATTCCAAAACACTTTACAAACTAAGTATCCGTTTATGCACAGATTCCTACGGGTCTATGTTCACTAGCGAGGAGTACACTTGACCATATTGCACACTACTTGTCAAGCTGTAAGTAGGCGACAAACAGGTCACACACCTGTGCTAAATTGTCACAAAACCTTTTGGATGGCTGGGTTAAAATGCTAGAATGCGCATTAGAATAACTTGATGTGAATGAAAAGTAAGACTTTTCAGTACTCGAAGTCATTCAAAATGATTGACACGGATTTTTGAGAAAGTTCATGGGCTGTATCTTTTACGCATGGTTTTGGTCATGATAATAATGCGATAAGTTAGTCCAAACAGCGGTTATGCATGTAAGGTTCAATTGAGGCACGTAAATTTCCAATTACAGCGCTTATTGATTGAAGAGGTTGCTGAGACTGGATTGTGTGTGCACTGACGAAAAATACGTCAAATTTACCTAGAACAGTTTGTTATAGCTTCCAATGCTGACCGAAGTGGAAAAAAATTCGATGACTAGCCAACGTCCAAAACAGTAAAATGTGTTTTTTTTATCAAATGACCTCATTCATTTGATGGAATATAATCATATTGGCAAAGAAGTCATATACAAATACTTTTCGCCTTATCGGATGAATCAAGGAAGCGGTTTTAATCGAGAAGAATATCCATAGAACGAATTAAGGTTTGAGGTCAAATGCTGGTGGATAATTCTACAAAGGTTAGTGCCAAATGCTTAACGAAAAATGCTAACCTCATTAAAAGAGAGGTGCCATTGTGGTACCATCAAAAACGGCCTACTTAAATGTCAACAGGAATGGGAAAAATCAGCCATTTTTTAAATATAAAAGGTGGTTCTGGAAAATGGATACATCTTCCCAGAAGGTAACAGAAGGGATTCAGATTAATTCGGCCCCTGGAAGACTAGACACTTCTTTTGCATGGTAAATATGTGCAATCTGTTTCCTAACTTTTAACTATGCCTTAAGACTTAAGCAGAAGTGTCCGATTTCCATGCTTGGCGGAATGATGGTGGAGGATGTCATCAGCAGAAAAGACAGCCAACAGGACCAGCTTTTGGAGATGCCGCCACATCATTGGCAGCATCTGGAGCGGTATAGTGTCTCAGATAACAACGGGGTACAAGCGGCGGCACCATTTGCCGTGGGTACCCACGCAGTTGAAGAGGTCACGTGTAGTATCCAACTATGCAGCACGCTAACGTCTGATGGCTACGCAAGCACAGACTTCTGCACAGTAGAAATCAGCTTGACTTTTAAAGGCTGAGCCGAAAGTTAAACTAATTATGCTGAGTCACAGTGGCTCAAGAAGGAAAAGCAAATTCATTCTAAAGGTTTTCAGACGAGACGGCGCTTGCAGGAGCCCTCGACTGAATTGCACAGGCAGTTTTACACAAGAAGGCATACTAGGTAAGTTGAGCCGGGTTACTAAGCTAGGTGATCAAGGATACAGGATTAAAGGTCAGAGGACACGTGTCTTGGTTTTCCAACCCATGCCACATGAGATGCTACTAAGTATGAAGGGCAAGGACTTTGGATTAAACGAAGATTGGAAAGGTCTGTACGATTCAGGCACCGGATCGATTTAATCAGGGTCCGTGGATCAAGATGGGACCACTCAGAGGATACTAGTCTCCCAATACACCTAACAAGACAGAATGAATGACATTATAGCTAGATTTGTTCCCTGTTGAACCGTATTTCCTCGATTTTAAATTACCAATTTTTAAATCGATAAAACATTCAGAAAATCAAATGTTACAATGTATAGTTGGTTTATCGTAGTGATAAAATGAGTAATTTAAAATCTGCAATAAGTTGAAGCGAATATTTAACAATAACGCCTATGGAAAGCAGAGGTCCTAAATGTACTCCGAAGAAGTTAAGGAAGGTAAGTTGACGGTGAAACCAAAGCATAAGTGTGATTGTACCTGCGCTAAATATGAGCGGTTTATTGATGAAAGCATTAAAACACTAACTAACAAGTCGTAAGAATGTATCCCTGTTGACGTCAAGACTGTAGGAAGCACCGATTTCCTCGTAACTTGATGAAGGAACATGAAATACCTGTCACCGCAGGAAAGGTTTACGGATTCGACAAAGAGTTAGAATGTTTTGATAAGACATCGTGGAGGTGGAAATAATTTTTTCAATAATTAAAGTTGGTCTGATCTGATCTCGACGACTTGAGGGTTTCCCCAATTGGCTGATGCCGCAGTTCGTTACATGAGACATCAAAATTGTGCTTTGGCGAAACCCTTAATGAGAAGCTACCCTCACATCAACGAAGGCTGTTTCCAGCTGCGTAACGTGCCAGTGGTATTTCAATAGGAAAAAACAAACAAATTGCACTTTGGACTTGCTAAAATGAATCAATTGTAAAAAAAACTTCTAACATTTAAAAGGCACTTCTTCAATCAGGGTGAAAAAGTTAACAAGAAACTAGTGAAATAATAAATATGTCTGCATGCAACCCTTTCCGAATCTGCTTTTAGCATCCTCTTTAAGGCAGCCTCTATTAAAAGCATTGCCTTTTCTTTAAACTGGGCCTCAAATCTGCGCCTACTTAAATTAATTACCAAGCGGATACCCACTTTAAACACTGTTTGTTTATGTTTTCACTGGTACCTCCCACTGATTTCCAATGCGCGCCTTTTCAAATGTTCCGATTCATTTAGTGTCAGCTGATCGTCCATTGGTTTTACCAAAACTTGGTGTGACTATTAAAAAACGTCGTAAACACCACGGCTGCAAAACACTCGTGACTTCAGCGGTGAGTCATTTTGGGAAAACTCAATCCAAGTATCTTTGATGTTGAGTGCCGATAGCAGAAAGCTAATAATGCGAAAATGGTTGTAGCTATTTGCAATTGGGGTAAACAGCGTTGGAAGTGCCACAAAATGGCTTCAAACGAGTTACTATGACCTTTGCTTACTGGCAAGTCAGTTGTACACGTAGTCAAAATGCTTTGATTTTCTGTTTCAAAAGGGTTTTCGCAATATGTGCTAAAGTATAACTGGTTGAATACAAAAAACTTCAAAGTAAAACCCAAGTGCATCATCAGGCGCAAGACTGTTGAACAATTCAAAAAAACACCAACAATTTACCTTAGTGGTGCCTCCAAAGCAAGTGGACTTGGCGTGATCCTACAGATAAACAAGAAATTGATCTTTAACACACCAGTTTCAAGAACTCAGCTTACTAAGAATTTTATCACAATGATTTCACATAGCTGACACGTTAACACCAGATTTAAGTCACAAGTTTACTACGGAACTAAACACAACTACTTGAACAGGTGCGTCTTTTAAAGGGTGCTTTAGGATAGCCTGCAACCCCAACAAAATGTACCCACTCTGGTTCTCCTTGACTGGTTACGCTAAAGTTTACACCCAAGGTTCGTTATCCTGGTTGTTTGTAATTTATGTTTGCCTTAACCGAAAATTCTTGGACCTTTTTGGCCACCATGGCAAGGACGATTTTCCACAAGCTAGGTGAAATTAGCACTAGAAATTTGGTTGCGTATCCTGAAAATCGTTAACCACACTTAAACATAAAACGCAGCATTACTCACTTTGACCAGTTTAAGGACTTAAAATGGTTGGAATTTGTGCGCTTGATCGGCCTACTGCTCCATTGCTTAAGATTGCACGCTTAAGTGTCCTGTGTTTAATCGCTTCAACCTACGAAGCAGCTGCCCTAAGCTATTGGCTGCAAGTAAACTGCGGTCATTGCGTAAAACAGGAAGTAGGTAATGCCAGTCAAAGGTGATACAAACTTTCTAAGTGTTTAAAAGCTATCTACCTTCTACCATTTCGTTGGCGTGCTTTGTACTTGGGTGAAGCATATTGTTGGGACTTTGTCATTTTAAAAAGGACGACATGGGGTAGTTTAATTACAGGACTTTGGTAGAACAATGCACACTTGGTAAGCCAAATCCAGCGATGAGAGACGCATAGCACTTTGAAGGGGCCTTATATCAGGGTAATAGGGTCGAGAAAATATATGTATACATCTATTGCCTAATCGAAACACACTAAAACTGTGCATTTCAGTCACTACTATGAGCTACATTCTGCGATTTAAAAAAATGCTCATTTAAGGAGGGACCGACCCGAGTTGCGTCGATTGTTGCAAATCGGTGTCGTCCAACTCTCCGTCATCGTCACCGTCCTCGGGACTTTTTTTTCGTTCAAGCATTTTCTTGCCGAAGCCCAGGCCTACCTTGAAGGCGTGCCTAAATACTCCGTAGCCGTGTGATAGAACAATAAAGTGAGCTTCAATGACTTCAAACATTGTGACGCCTGACAGGCCCAGAAAGAGGCCGAACATGCCCCCCAGGGCAGCGAGGAGGTTGAAAAAAGACGCCGATTCGCCCTCGGACATGACGGGGATTCTGGCACGTGCGGCGGCCACAGTGACCACTAGGTAGTCGCTGGTGTCGATCGAAGCCTCGGAGACGTTGAGTCCAACGGACTCGAGTAAGTCTTGAGGAAGAGGGCCCGAGAGAGGTAGGGTTTGCTGGTGGTCGATCTCGTTCACTCGCTCAACACAAGGCTGAGGGCAAAGCCAAAAGTACTTTGTGATCTGTTTCAGTGGCACTAAGACCACACGATACCACTTCTTGGGTAGGGAGGCTTCCAGAATCTGTAATTTTTAAAAAAAAACGACGTTGCAGCAGGACCAATCATTCAAGGTGTTATTGGCCTTAAAAAGTGACCCTATAGCTAATTCCATTTAAATTTCACCCTACGAATGATAAGATGCACAAACTGGAAACTAGATTTGAATGAAGAAACTCTATTACAAAAAACCACTGAAGTTATTCCTAGTCCTCGAACATGACGTAATACTGGTCTCAGTCGTTTATTTACAATGTGAAAACCCACTTACAGTTCATCGAAATTATGCCTGACTGTAATTAATTTCAAGATAATATTTAGATACCCTACAACAGTTTCTGGATTCAGCATGTTTCAAACATTACAATTCTCTCGAACGGCAAATTAATAGATTTTAAAGTTGCTTCAGCAGTTACGTTTGGAGTGAATCGATTTTTGTACGCAAGCGCCAGTAGGTATTAAAATTCTATTGTGGAAGAGCCGTTCGTTGTGCTAGTCGGTTTTGGTCACTTCGAAATGCACGAGAGGTCAAAGCACATCAACTTTTTCTGTGAGTTAAGCTTTGACGACCCAGTCTAGGGTCCTATTCCAGGTTTAACCAATACGATGTGAATGGACGTCACCACTTCAGTACCGCAATAAACTGGAACAAATCAAGTATAACAAGCAGGTCTCTGTGAAATTTAGAGTCTCAGGAATTACCTAATAAACCTGTCACCTTAATAACTTTCTGAATGACTTCGAATATTGAAAAAAGGGTTCCGAGGAAGATCCCACATCTAAGCAGATGGGATGCATCAACAAGAGGGTTACAATAAAGCTAAAATAGGGCTACGATTTCCGTGAACCATTTCTGCATTCACAGTGTCATCGAATTCTGTTATGGTAGCGTGAGCCTAGGATTACTTAGCAAACTTAAATGCTATCGATCCCCCTCTTGTAAAGCAAAATCCTGCGCCCTTAGTCACCATTCCGCAGGTGACTCCACACAAGTCAGGAATTTGTCAAGCGGAATAGGGGGGGAAATTCAAACAAAGCAACCACATCTGAAGGGTAGTGATTCGTATTGATGTGGTATAAACTAAAATAAAATAAGGTAAACAAACCTCCTCATCAGACATCTTGAGTACTTCGTCATGACACGACATTGTGTGATTGACCTGCATCTTCTTCGGTGAGTGGCAGAACCCGGCTTCTTCCAGTTCGTCGGCGAGGTAGAAGGGAACCATTGACTCCTCAGAGAGACACTGGCACTTCCGTTGCATGACAGACTGTCGCAAGGCTGCCAAACAGTTGCTCCTTGTATAATCAACCTCAACAAAGAGCTTCTTGTTGTCCTTTATGAAGGCTTTTAGGTCTAGGTATTGGATTGGAAAGATGTTCTTCTTGCATGGTCGGAAATAGGTATCCAAACGTTCGTGAATCTGAAGTCCATGAAACGCGAAACATTACCCGTTTGTCTGTCCAACTTTCCCTTGTTTCCTGAATTCGCGGTTCTCAGGATAACAACGGATCATACCACAAAAATGCAACGACTGATATATGTAGGTCTACCATATCAGGGATCATGAAAAAATGTTTTAGTGAATCGTATTGCTTCATGCCAGTGTACCGGGTGTTTGAATTCACTGACATTTGAGGCATTTGTACGTTAACTAGCTCACCTGAAATGTATTAATCAGTAGTTATAATAGCCATGAACGACTGTGGCACACACAACACAACTAGGTTGAGCTATCTGGTAAATGGTTGCCTCTGCTGTCATTGGTCTTCTTCTAGCCTCCTCAGGCATCTGAGTAGCATGAACGGGCCAATTGAAGACCACATACCTGGGGCCGCAACAATTGGTGACCCGGGGTGATGGCCCTCAATAGTATGATGTAAATGAGTAACTGAGTTGGTCAAGCATGAAAGCAAACGGACGACTCACAAACTGCGTCAGAGTAACGACGATGTGGTGGCCGTAGCGCACAGAGGTCCTCACCGATGAACGCGACCCACTTGTGGAGGCAACCGACCCAGTTGGAAGGGAACTGGAGTCAGCCTCTGGAGCATCGTGCAGCATGACCTGGACACCGTCCAATTCGTTGGCTATCTGGGCCTCGTTAGCGGCTGCAGGACCCTTGTGGTCATCCCAGCCCTGAAATGACCCATTAACTAGGGACCATTTACGTAATGCACAGGGCCAAATTTCAAACCAATGACCAACTTCCCCGACAAAAGGCGTGTAGGGGTACTTAGACAGGCTTGTAAGACTTAATTAAGAGACCGTGTGGTCCCTGGGCCGCAATAAATGGATTTCTAGAATTTTGGTATTCGAAAACGTTTCTTGTTTAGTGGTAACACTTATGGTGTTGATGGAGAAATAAGATGAAAGACATTGACTTATTCGGTTTATCATACCAGTGACACTAACAGTTAATTTATTAATTTGTGAATAATAGACCTTCTTACAAAGTAGATTAGATGCGTACCGAAAATCAGCATATCAGTCTCCATGTAATTGCAGAATAACACAACTTCCCACGAAAACGGCGAATGAAAATTGGCGAAAATGCTTTAAAATTCTTTACTCTTAAGCGAGGTTGGAAGACGAAATATTGCTAACGCAACTTGGCCAATGAGCGAACAAGTTTGAAAGGAACCAATCATACAGTTGTTCACTTCATAGAGAATCTCTAATTAATTTTGTACACCCGAAACCACGGGGAAGTGATTACTAAAAGACCAACACAATGTTTGTTTTCTAGAATTTCGTTTTTGAGGCCTCGTGTCAACTACGTTGAATTTTCAGTCGAGGCGCTAAGATACCATACAGGTCTCGTAAACCCTTGGATAGTCCTCAGAAAAAGTGGTTTTGAGACAACTGACTTGAATTAGACTAGAAGACTGGAGCTTCAGTAACACATAAGCAAAGCGAATTCTAATCATTTGCTCCAAACGCTAGAGGAGTTTACCTGGTAGACACCAGCCTGATCGTCCGCGAATAGCAGTGCTGGATGCGTTAGGTTTCTCGGGTAGGGTCTCTTGAGAATGAGGTGAAGCCCGGACCTCGAACCGGATCGCTTGACACTTGTCGTCTGCATTCGAATCTGTGGAGATTTCAACGAAGGTTGTGCGTTACTATCAGTTAACACAATGTTACCACATATTTACAAGTGGGAGAAGTGAAATCACTAGACAATTGGTTTTTCAGTAGCTCAAGATATTTACTTCTATTGGGATTTTGACCGCTAGATGGTACATATTACCGTTAAAGCTTAAAAAAGACCTATTAGGCAGCTAACAGATGGCACAGTAAATCGAGTTTTAGCTTGGTGTTGTCGAATAATTATATATTTGACATATTCTGAATCGCTTTCAATTACCGAAGAATGGCAGGAATGAAGCCTGGTTGCAAGAATCGGGTTGTCAAATTAATGGGTGGATGCAACAACACAGATGGCTATATGACTGCACAAATATTAACCGGGTTTAATCAGTTAATCAAATTAATAGATGTAGTGTAGCAGGAAGACTTCTGACAGCAAAATTGAGCAGTGGGTAGATGCTTCATAAAACAAGATTGAACCAGGGGCTAAATAAGTTACCTCGCTGATGAGTTCCTGAAAACCCAACCGGAAAAAAATTACAGAAGCTAGATACAAGGACCACTAATTTTTCACTAAGCATTATCCTTACACGTCTAAATCATGCTTGTATATTGTCGTTACATATTGGTTTGACTGTGAAAAGAACATTAGCAATACTTTTGATGGTTTTACAATTCTAGTTCTCGTTGTAACACTACCCGAAATCTGTTCTCGTGGTAAACTGTGCTCCAAGAGTCTCAAATTAGTAAGTAATTGCTGTTTACGCATTAAGTTTATTGGTATTTCTTGTCATAAGATAACACGCACGCGTTATTCCTAGCTATTCAAGTTGTTCTTATTGTTTTCGACCTAAATTCGTGTTGGTTGTCTACTCAAGGGACAAAACAAAAACAAAAATTTATATTTGAACGGGCTTCGCTAAGAGTGCTGCATCTTTCATTAGATATTTATGAAATACACATCTTTCCAACACATTGAAGTCGATTTACATTTTGTCAACATTCACAAAGTCAACCTACTGTAATTCAAAAAAGGTCAAATCTATAACATTTAATACTTGATGTCCAGTGTAAGAAGGTAATTGTATTTGCAAGAACATTTCGTTAATGTATCCGATCCCGTCCCATACCATACCATGAGTAGTAGGGCCAATGCGACACAAGGACGTAGCTTGCCACGTCGACCAAGTTTAAAAGTAGACGATTTTGTAGGGAAAATGTATCAACTTACCTGAAAACACTGATATTTAGCTGCAGTCACAAGAGCAACTAACGGGTGCTGTGGCCACCTCGTGCGATTCTTGTTACGAGTACCAGTTTTCAGTTTCTTTAACTGATCGGGATCCTGGGGAGCCAAATAGCCATAGAGTCTACCAGGATCTAGGGTCCAGTGGCTGGTTCCGAGGAATGGAGCTCCACTGTCAGACGACACCCCCACTAGTGGGGCGCTAACGGAGTCAACTCTGAGGCCCGGACACCCCTGTCCGTTGAACTGGCAGGCGACAAAGTAGCGCTGCCAAGGCACCGCCAGATCCTCCTTTATGAAGTTCTCAAAGAATGAAAATTTGGTGCGGTGGCGCCACTGTCCCTCGAATTGAGGCCACTTCTTGGGGTCGAGGGTGGATGTTTTGGGAGACTGTTCCATCCACAACTGGGCTTTCCTTTTGTACCTAAGCCACGATAATCCAGAAACCTACTTATATTTGGTTCACTGAAATAACTTATCAATACTAAACACGTCAATTGGACCTACCGGACGAATCCCGTGGGGTGAGAAATTTTATTACAAATCCAAGAATTCGAGGAGAGCTCAAGTTACACACCACAAGGCGATTTTAAGCCTACTAGTGAATTTATTTCCATTACTTTCAGAGCGCTGACCTTTTGCGTATGTGAAGTTATAGAGCACTAAAACAATGTTCCTTTTCACCTGTGCAGTTGGTTTGGGTGCTGGACTAACAGAAAAATTTGGTGACTTATCATGGGCGTGGTCGAATTTCGCGTTGCGCCAGTCTCTCAGTTTGCGGTGGCTTCGGTGTGAATCGCGTTGACCCACGTTCGTTAGACCGGTCGCTACATTCTCCAAAACACTGCATCAACCCTCACCTCCTTAGGAAGAAATTTTATCCCTGATCTTCATTCTGTTTTACCCACCAGAGCTGTAAATACGCACACAGGACGACTTGGTCGAGGTATCTAATGCAGGTTATTTCTCCCTCTGCCGTCTCATTCCTTCCTTGGGTACCTCACGTTTTATCGCGCCTCAGTGGTTATAATAATGACGAGAATTTTAAGACGACCACAGAAACTCAGTCTAATTTCATGGTGCGCTCCTCGATTTATTCGTCACAAGACATTTAGTAGAGCAGCCTGGATGGTAAAATGCTACTGAAAAGTTCTAAGAGGAACCAAACAGTTTGCTTCAGAGCCTGGATCTGAAAGCTAAAGAATTCCGTTTCATTTCAACGTGGAACTTACTCATCGAATGCATTCAATTTGGCCTGCAGTTCCTCCATGGAGAATGGGCTGTCGGGACAAATCGTGATGGCTGGAAAACGGAATTCATGCATGTCTTGGCTAATGACCGTTGCAATAGACATATTCAGAAATCCTAAAATCATCTTGCCACAACAAATCCAACAAATAGCAATCACTAGGATCAAAAACACGAGGACAAACACACGACGCCAATCAGGCGGAGTTTCCATAAGCACGTCGATCCCGTGGAAGGTGCTCCTTTCACCCCAAGCTTTTAGCTTCCGCCTCACCGCTTCAAATTTTAATCTGTCTTCCTCGGCTCTACTCACTGTAAAAGGACTTTCAGTGTCTTCGGCGGACGTCGGACCTCTTCTTCTTCTTGTACACGGCAGTGAGGAAAGAAGACGTCCGACTTTTTTCTCGCTCTTTGAGTCACTGGTGTCACTTCCAACATGAGTAGGCTTCTTAGAAGGCTTGAAACCATGCCACTTTTTTGGTCCCAATTTTGAACTTTGCGCCGAACTGGTCTCGTCATTCGAACTGGTTTCTTTATCACCAGATCGTCTTAGGCCCCATTTCCTAGGCTTTCGAATGACCACAGAACTTTCAGAGCTATCGGGTTTCGGTGACTTGTTTTTGTTTCCTTTTAGTCTACTATTGCCGATGGATTGCTCTTTTTTCTTACGTCGACGCATTTTCTCCACCCAACCTCTTTTTGGGTCCTGTTTGCGATCGTTGAGGCTCCCCGCAGAACTTGTTGTTTTGTATTCAGCATCGTCGGACCTGGCACTAAAGCTGCTGTTTTGATCGCCTTCCCGGTAGTTAGAATTGGTTGTTGCGCTCCGACGTCCCTTCCTCAAGTATTTGTCCTTAACCCTCGTGGTGCTGTTGGTAGAGGCTCGAGACGCTGTGGTGCCTCCACTACAATGATCAGTTGCACCACTCGAGTTTTCGTCGGTGCTTTCTGTCGCCCTCTTGATTCGTGGCATGGCTATAAAAACAATTTTTCAGCCGGTCGAAAAATCAATAAGTCTACGTGCAAACAGTCAGACGTTTAAAATTTTACGACGAATAGCATCACTGGGGTACAAATACTGCTCGTGTTCGTGGGAACATTTTCAAACGAGATATATTAGAGCACACTAAAGCCCTGGATGCTCTCTTTGTGTTCGGTGAAGATGTAGAATAGAGCCATTTAGGTGAATTGCGGGTTTTAATATGGACCCATTGCAGTTTACAACTTGAATATGGCCCCTAGCACACCCACAAAACTGCACTTTTTATTTGTAAAGACGCAACTGGACAGAACTACATGCCATACTACCAAATAGATCTACAATGTTTGCAATTACATATACCAACATGAAGTCGAGCACATTTAAGCATCTTATTTTACGAGCGACAGCAGACACGGTTGTTCGCAGACCAGGGTTTTGATCGACAATTTCAGCTCGGTGCATCCACGGGGTTACCGAACTCCCGTGATGTTTGGGGTAACAGAAAAGCAGCAAGCGTGCACAATTCGGTGAACAGAATGCCCCAAGCATTCCAAAGTACTTACAGGACTTCACGGCACGAAAGAAACGTAACCAACAGCAAGTTTTTCATACAATGCGAACCGTTTCACATTGAGACGACATCTACGGATTTTCGAACGCGCAAATCGCACTCCAACATCCCCTTAAACTGACACTGACGCCCTGTTATGATTCTGTTGTTCTAAATTACGAGAAATGTTACCTCGTCATGATTATACATTACCTCCGTAGTACAGGATACATATTAAATTTTTCCGTAAGCTAAAATCTAGCAATAGAACCCACTTCCACACCTGCATACAATCAAAATTGAGTTGGTATAATTGCGGGGGCACTCAAAACGCATGGTTGGAAGCTTGTGGAGGAAACCCCACAAATCGGAATCCTAGTTCAACATTGAGTTCAAGTCAATGCGCAAACCGTGACTCCGAGAGGACGTGAACACTCCACACGAGCACAAGTACGTATACAAATGAAATCGTATTTAAGTTGGAAAGCAAAGACGGAGCAGGGCAGAACACCTCCACACTATCAGCGGTTTCAGTCATCAACCCTAGCACAGAGGAAGGAAGGCGCGCTTAAACTGATCGGGTTGAAGAAAAGGATGAAATAAGCTAAATGCGCGCACAGTGCAGGGTCAATATGTACAGTTAAGCCTGGAGTGGCAGTCTAATTCGGACGACGAAGAAAAAAACAAATAGAGAGGGGGAGGAGTCAAGGGGTAGGGCGAGGTCACGATGGCATCGATCAGGCGAGGTATTTGTACACTTTTCGGTCGGTGTCCGAACGAGCGATGAATTCGCGATCGATGAGGGCCTCGATGCGCTGTTTAATGGCCATTGGGGTGGGGCGGAAACGCGATTTGAGGTGCTCAATGACTTCGGCGAGAAGTTGGTTGTGCTCGAGGGTCTTGCGCGTTTTCATTACGCGCACGATGGTCGCCTCGATCACATACCGACGGTTCTCGTCCACGCGTGTGCGCGTCTCCTGCCGCTCTGGCTCACTTTCGCGCACTGAAATGTTCTGCACCTATAGGGGAAGCGGAGCCACAACGCGTTAGCAGCATCATTTTAAATACACTTCGTGGGCCCCAAAAAACTGACAGCTACGGCGGACTAAAATCCGTTATTAGGGATCGTACTTCGAAGATCTACGACAATGACAGAGGATTATAGGTGCGGTAATTTGGCTAGAGACATAGGCCCGACGAACTTCAGTGGTAAATTTAGGCGAGACTGAAGAACTACACTTACAACCTTCTAGACATTGACAAGTTCGCAAGAGGGTAATCCTGGTGCTTTATAACGGCAAGATAAGTCACAAAAGGGACGTCCAAGGGGAGTTCACATTACCATGGGCACGAGCCTGTTGAGCTAAATATTTGGGGTGGCGCTTGAAAAAAGACAATAACTGAGTCGTGGCAAAATTCGATACTCTGCTGCACATGTAAGCATGAAAAGACGGGCACGAACCACAAGCAAGCACGAATATTTAGGGGTGAGTGAGAGACAGAAGATTAACTTCAACTTTGCAATGAACCTGCCTTTATCTTGTAATGTCGCGAGACAAACGAATTGTTGACGTAAAAGACGTCAGTCGGTTCGACTTCCTTCGTTTTGGGCTCCTTGCAGAGAATACGTTGAGTTGACCTGCTCATGAAGAGGGCCATTAAACTGCGAACGAGATCGCGTTCTGGAATACCCGTCTCAGCGATCAATTCTGTCAGGGTGAACCGGTTGCGCTGATTGAAGAGCATCAGAATGACCATCTGGAAGGTGGATACCTGGAAGGCCAAAGGGAAAGCATTGCATGTCACAGGGTTCCCAAGCTTGATTAGGGATTCACAAAGATTTCTTGCTCAAAAGGGTCATTTTACATCCGGTTATAATGTTCATGACGAATCAAAGTGGAAACGATTCAAGTACTGCTTAAGGAATTGGCGTGGGTAGATCTCGTTAGCTTAGCCAACACCTTGATTTCCCACTACTTTGAGAACTTTGGCATTGTTGATTTAAAATGAATGCGTGCAAACAGTGAGACAGAAACGACTTCTGTGGCAGGGCCAGCCATTCTAATCCTCGAGGGAGGAAACATCAAAATTCTTTAAGACAAGTCAGAGTGAAGTGGTCTTACTACGATAAAACAAACAGGGGCCGGTTGAGCGGACATCTGAAGAGAGAACCTGGTGCATCGCCAAATACAAAATTAAGCATGAAACCACGATACTGACCACTTGGAAACGCATTAGAAGGTGCTAGTGGGGGGTGAGAGAAGTCCTCCTCACCTGGAGAATGTACTTTCGAGTATAGGCATTGCCTGGTGCGGAGGTCGCGGCGTTGTCGAGGGGCTCAGAGACGCCAGGACTTCCAGGCAGTCCGCCGGCTCCACCCGACGAGGACGACGGTGCCGCTGAACCAGAGCTCGTCCCCGAGTTCGAAACGCGCAGTGTAGCTCCGCCCACATCGAGATGACCTGGGGTGTCGTCGCCCGAGGTCGGTCCAGTGAATATGCCCAATAGCTCGGCGTGGCCGAGGTTAGAGTGGAGACTGATCTTTCGGCCGCTGTGCTTGCTCAGGTAGAAGCTGCACGAATGAGTAAGCAGGGCTGATTATCCACCAAACCAACTCAAGTGGAAATGAGACGCTATATTCTACTCATTAAAAAATGTTTAACCAACAGGATATTGCACTGTTTTTTTCAACGAGTTTATTTAACCACGCAGATGGTTTTTGGGGTTACCGTCGTTGGGATCAAAGTTACTATCGGAAGCAGATTTATTAAGCGACATTAAGCCAATTTGCGGGTGGCACAGCTATCGAGGGTGTAAAGACAAAAACCAACGCTATCATCACCACTAGTCGTTGGTTTGCAATCGCTGTGCGTCAAAAGCGTTAACACCTTTCATAGTCGATGCAAGAACTAGTAGAGTAACAAATTAACGCATTCAGAAAAAGCAACAACACACGGAATAGACGATGGCGCAGAAATTGCCGCTTAGATAAGAGCCATAAGAATGTGGGCAGTGTTGAAAAAACAATAACCGTCTCAGTGCATGAACAGATTGCATTTTCGCCTTAGTGACCTAGCTGTTTCGGCGTATCCGTTGGGCGCAGTGACTGGTTAAGTTGTCAGGGTCATGTGTCAAGGCAAAGAGTATTTGAGGCATTCTTGCACTAGCGTGAATCTCCGGTTTCGACGAACTTTTGAGGAAATGCAGATGGAACCAGGAAGGAGCTGTGCTGCATAGGGAGCAAGACTGATCATTTCCTTCATGGTAAAAGGGCACGGGACATTCGACATGAGGGTTTACAAAAACACACGAGGGAAATACTAAGGACTCTCGGTCACAAGAACTATACACAAGTTCTCGAGTTGTCAAGACGATCTTAACTGCTGCGCAGATACCACTACGCCGTGCTGCCTAACAGTGGCATGCATCAGGCGCTATTTCATTTCATGTGAATACCTTCACTGTGTGCACATTCACGAACACCAATAGATGAGGGATGGTTAATGTGGTTAGTTGGCAAGGAAATAATTTGGAGTTTCACAAACAAACCACGTATTTTTTGAAGGGCATTTGCCATGAAATTCTCTCCTTGAAATTTGCTAGATGCTGCTTCGGGCTTACTTAACAACCGAAAGCACTCGCGTAAAGCGTTAGATTTAGGTTTACGGTGTGTGCAACGACGATAACGGTGTAAATCACAGGCTTGCGTTAACAGCACAACGTGGAGTCAAGGCGAAAAGGGCCTGCAAAAGAACGGGTGGGGATACGCAACAGGAGAAGTGGTGCAGGGACGGTAAGACCGATTTAGGATTACTGAGCAACCAATGGCATAGCATTAGTTACGTAAGATACTTTTAAGGGCGTGGGGAGCTTTGGTATCGAGAAGAAGAGGCAGTTGTACGTGGAGGAAAGAAAATTCATGTCCTCCTATGCGGGAATAGAAAGAAACAATCAAACAACTACTTAGACAACGTATCCGAGGTTAATACCTTTTATATTGAAGTTTAAGCGGCCTCAGAAAAAATTGCTCCATTTAAGCTACTAACAGGTCGATAGCGACAATTTGCCCAGGATCACACAAACAACTATTTGAAGGCATTTTCCGAAAGCATGAACTTGCTTTTCGATGAGGCTTGATTTGGAATCGTTCGCACACAAGAACAAGCGGAGCGCCAAGGTTGGCGATAAGAATGGGTAAAACTGAAAAATCACGCTAGGGGGCGTACAAGGACCGGTGTCATAGGCCGTTATGCGGAACACGGGTCGCGGGAATTAGGGGCAGCACAGGGGCTTTGAAGTTGCTAAGCAATTGATTCCTAATAAAGGCCATTCAGCATTCACGTAGCCTCACGAGTTGAATGCTGAAAATGACGAAGGGGTAATTGTGTCTTAATTGAAGCATATCTGCAACACGAGGGGGCATGAGGGTCAACGCCACATCACGTCAACCCAAACGATGTTAAATTCCACTGGTTATTGTGGATAAGTGAACTTTGCTACAAATTATGGCATGGGGTGCGTACAGAGTGGCAATAAGACCGAACTGGTGGACAAAACTACAGGCGGGCAACACTCAGCAACAGTTGGCATGCCAACGCTAAACTTGGACCAATTCAAGACACTACCAAAAAAACACATCCGCCTGACAATAAAGCCTTCTTGACCAAGTTCCACGATAATTATGCTTGGGCAGTTGAAGATCAAGGGGAAGACAAATGACAGCAAGGCATCGAAGTAGAGGGCAAACACCCGTCAAAACAACCTATCCCAAGACAAACAAATCGAAGACACCCAGATTTTTTTTGCAAAAGGTTTTACGAACGCACTGCCGAATTCTGGTCGATTATTTGTTCTGTTTGCGCGCAGTAATTAAATTCACAAACAAATTCTAAGGTGTTTGTGAAAAGCACCACCACCACGCAAATGCAAAACTACATAGCCTAACAAGGGACTTATGTGTGTCTTGTTGGTAGTGAACTGACAAGCCTGAAGTGCATTTGTCTTCCTGTAACAGCTGATCGCGTGGACAGAGGAGGCCCCTCGGAAAGCCTAATGGACTCGCACGGCCTGGCCGTGTGCAGGAAATAACCGCCACGAGAGCGAAATTGGGGCAGAAGGTGGCACACAGGCACTACCCCTAAGTTTCTACACGACGTGAAATTAACTTTAAAGGAAACTGACAAAGGATGCTACCTTGACCGTGACCACGGGAGTGTGTATAAACTCGTGCGTATGCGAACGCGTGGATTGGCGGATAACTAGCGCGTTGTGGGTGGAAAAGTAACCTGTACTTTTTATGGTACTACCAGCGTATTACTATGCCGGAAAATGCCTCACGGAGCGTTTCGATTAGCAGGGTGAAAATGAACGGTACAGGTAGAGTGACACTGGTTTAGAACGATCTAAAAATCCGCAAGATGTCGTTCATGATGCCTCTGCAAAGCAGTTGATTCGATAAATAGGGGCATTGAGCATCAAGAGAGGGATAATAGTGGTCGATGATTGAGTACAAAGACCACTTGCAGCCAAACGTACAGCGCTTGTTTGATCTACCGCCTCCGGAGCTACAGTAGCACAACAGCAATAAACTAGGGACTCTCGTGTTTTTGGCAAGGAGTTCGGCCTCAGTCGGGGACGATTTCAACTGGAATAACCAACAACCGGAGGCCTTGTGAATCGAAACACTTTCCTAGTGTTTCGAGCACGCGTCTGGCAGTTTTTGAAGCGTGAAATTTCTGCAGTGCTGATTCACTTTTAAAACATATAAGGTTGGTTGAGGAAAAGTAGCCTGAGTTAATGAGACACGCATTGATGCAGTTAGCTTAAACTGGATTTGCAAAAACAAAGGCCTGTTCCCACTCCCAGCTTTGTGTAGGAAAATCGCGTATAAACAAAATGAACAAAAATGACAATTGCTACTTATCGAAGTACCGAATTCATGTTTGCCAAACTTTTGTGATGCAAGTTCGGCTTCTCTAAATACAGCTTTAACCTTGGTTGACACTTTAGGCGAGAAAACCTCGCAGGTTGTAGAAACAATCGACTGAACAAACCGCATTTGTCATAAGTGAAAATATGCATTGAAAGAGCTAAATGCACACACCAAATTTCAAAAATGACATATCGGTCAGTGTATGGAAATTAAGTAATAGTTTAAGCAGACTACCATTGTGGACGCGATGTTAAAGTTCGTATACTGGAAATGGGTAGCACTATTCAGTGAATAAAAGTGCAACACTTCGGGGCAAAGAAAATTTAATTAGCAAATATCACCAATACACTGGCGATGGATGATAACAAGTCTCCCATTAGATTATGAAACATTCCATAGTGAAACGTGGGAAAAAGGAAAGCGAATTAGTTGTTCGATCGAAAGGAAGGAAGGAAGAGTTGCCAACGTGTCGCGTTAACTCGGCGAAAAACATTACTTGGGGTAAGGGGGCTTTCAGCACCGTTCTACCACACGATCAACAACGAAGTCTAAAATCTCAAAGCACATATTCCACCAAGTGGTCTACTGAGATTATTGCATCAAAGGAACTTAGTTTCTCGATCGCGAATTAAATTCATCAATATATTTCACAAACCTTCACCGCAAGTAATTGTCTAGACAAGAATTAAGCATCTTTTTCACATAATCCGTCTACTCGATTAGTATGATTGTCTATTTAGCACAACCAAGCTTTTATACTTGTTTTCTAGTGGTCAATAATGATTAGAATTAAGTAACTTAGGCATGAAAAGTGGTACAATGCTAAGACAAGTTATGACGTCGATTTTTTGTGTCTTGCACTCAGGGAAAATGTGTGACGGCAGTTCTTAAATCTCACCACGTTTACCACGTGAGTCACAACTCAGGCACTTCAACTTTCGGCTAAAATTATAATAAGACAAATCCACTACCCTCTTTTTAATTGCCCATAACATACGTCACTCTTTACCTTGCTGTGGAAGAGAACCGTCAGTCAACATTCAAGGGCATACAGAGAATTAATTGAGTGCCCTCAAATGGTGATTTCACCCCTACTTTAGCAGAACAAACCACAGTGCAACGTGGCACATAATCAGAAGTTTTGTGATATAGTATAGCAATGGATAAAACTTATGGCAAGAACGTGCAGTTTCGATGATTTGAGTTGCTTGCGTTACACGCAAAGGCGTTTTCCTTAATACACCTTTAAACAACATTAGAGGAATCTTAAAGTTGGCAGTGGGATGTGTTGGCGGTTTCTTACTGGTAACGCCGTCATATATTCGTCACAGCCGACCACTAGGCTATTTCATTATGAGAAATAACCGATCGGAAGCACAGCTAGTGTTATGATTGTCTCTGGATAGCAAATAGGCAAGTTTAATTAAACAAAAAAGGTCTTTTCTAAGGTCTAATACCACTAAGAAATAGTGCTTTCGCATATTTTATGGGTGCAAATTGTAGAACACGAGACTAAAATCAGGCAAAGGAAAGCATTAAAAACTTGAAATAGAATAAATGGAAGCATTCACTATATGAAAACTTGCACAAGGTTTTGAGAGAAATGAAGCGTATAAAAAAAAATTAGAAACACAAGATGGCTAAGACATGTTACTCGTAGATTAACCTATCAGTATTTTATTTTATTATAAACGCATTACTAACAAAAACGATGACAAACAAAGCATCCCCGTTGATGTTAATTTCCCGAGGATTAAGTTGGGATTTTACATACAAGCAAATTGCACCTTGCGAACTTAGTAGCAAGCATGAAAACAGCAAACTCACTTTGAGTAGGCATTGAAAGCATCCACAGCGTCCGAAGGTAGGGAGACACGGGGACTGGTGGTCTGGGTTGGCCACAGGCCGATAGTCAGCACACGCACATACAAGTCCAGGTTCAGCGGCGAACCAGTCACCGTCTGCATAAATTCCTCCATGAGAGTCTTTGAAACAGTCATGTCTTTGAACATTCCCTCGAGTTTACTAGTAAACACGCCACCACATTCAGCCATCAGCTTGGCAATCATGCTCTTTTCCTGGTCATCAGATTGGCACTTGCTTAAAAGCAGGCGTTTAGCTAAGTGTTGCTTGTAGTATCGCTCAAATATATCCTTTTCCTGTAGATAACGGAAGAGAACGGTACATTGATCGAAGACGGTATCCACATCGTGATCGCTCATACCCTTAAAGCCCCGTCTCAACTTCTCATCGATAAACAAAGAGAGAAACTCTGCAGACTTGGGATTTTTATTGATGAAGAATTCAAAGTCAGAATTTAGTTGGTTGCGGAAAATTGTTTGCTGATTAAGAGCCTTAAGAATATCATCAGAGCGGCTGCGGAGCTGAAGCAGATCCTGGATGTATTGTAGTGGATTGGTGCTACCTGTATCACGAACAATGTTTTGTCCACGTTCACGGATGAAATTGCTAATACACTGACTCATAGCCTTAGGGCCTTCGGGTACACGCGAAAGGACATTATGCATATTTTTTATATCATCATAGAGCTCATTTGCTAGAAGGTAGGTGAGGCCGGAATTTTCCATGTTTACAATCGTGTGAATATGGCGACTAATTAATTCCTGTTCAAGTACTTCTACCAATTTTGGTCCTGTAGATGGATCGAGATAATGATACACACGAGACACTTCCTCCTCTATACGATGCTCCACCTTGTTTATGTAAAGGATCGCGGAAGGATTCTTAGCTAGGAAGGCTTCACTTTCAGCCCGATAAAAGTCCCTCGTCTGTCGTAGAAAAGGCTGTTCAAAATCCTCTTCGTATACATCCAAAGAGCCAACTCCCAGCTGAACAAGCATTTGACAAGCGTCACGTATCTGCTGCCTAAAAATCACCTCCCCTTGGCGCTCTCGCTTGACCATATCAAGTAGGGTCTTCTGTAAGTTGTCTCTGATCACAGTGTAGCGAACAACATACTGGCAAAACATGACCATCCCCATCTTATAAACGTTGTCCAATTTCTTTTGAGTTACGTAGATTCGGTCCATATAAAGAAGAATATCACGGATCATTGGCATGGCGGTTTGATGATCTTTCCAGCAGCTGTTCAAGTACGAGAGGAATTTGTTATTTAAATTCTCGACAACAGAGTCTCGTATGCGTATCATATGCTGCATTACAACTTGTTTAGTCCCATTATATAGGAGATCCCCGTGTTTTTGTAAAACAAGCGTGTAAGCGTTTCTATAAAGTTCTTCGAAGCTTAAGCCGCTGTTGTTCATTTTTTGAATTTCTAAAATCGCCTTTCTTAATTTTTCCCAGGTCTGATTGATGTGCTGTTCATTGAGGGATACCGGAAAGCTTTTAATACGCATCTTTCCTCCAGATTCAGAGTGTCGTGCGCCACTACTTGCCATTCTACACTATAAAACGGCGAAGACCAATACTAAAAGAGTAGAAAATTTAGTTCAGCAAATGAGATGATAACAAGTATGCTATCCTAGAAGCATTTAATAGTACATTAACATAATATTGTATGTCATGGGCAACTTAAGATAAAATTCAGGAAGTGAAATAATAAGAAAATCCACGGACAATTAATCCGACACAAAAACACTCACAAGCAGTAACCACCAATCAGTGGCAAACAGAAAATGTCCGCGCAGATTGAAAGGCAACGGAAGCAGGATTAAAACACACGTGCAAAGGAACTCACGGTTTAGTTAAAAAGAATGCGACATTCATATTAAAAATCAGGTTTTATTAAAGTTTTATGGTATAGGATATCTTTTATAAATTAGAAGAGTAGCTCTCAAAACATTTTCACAGTTTTTAACCGAACCTCGAAATAAATGAACAATATTTAATCCTAAGGAGGGAAATTTCGTTACTGTCTCGATGCGCTAGGAAAATACAGTCTGAATTATATCTTCTTAGAATTGATTTTTGGCAAATTACAATTGAGAATAGTGAATGCATCACACACCGTTCGTTCATTTAGTCGATGAATTATGCCTATAGATGTCATTCTTTATAATTTCCAAAAAAACAGGCATTCATTTCGAAAATATTCACCACAGAGGTAGCTCTAAATCATTAAAACTGAAGACGTTGTGTTCTTCAAAACAAGCCGGCTTGGTCCAAAAATTTTGACGATTTTACATTCGGTGTCGTGAAATTAGTTGAATCTGCTACGTTTACGTTTGACTGCACACACTAATTTACTCAGTCAATTTAAAGGTGCTTTCTGATGTCATTTGTAAATAGTTATAGGTCTTAAGTTATGCAAAAAAATTAGCACTCAATTTAGCAAATAGATTCCACTGTCAATTCTAGCCAAAACTGTCTAACTAACTGGACTTTTAGAGAAGTCAAATTAGTATTATTAAACTTATTATTAAAGAGTGTTGTGAAATACTCCAAAAGGAATACAATTTATTTGGTGCTGTGAAAATATGGCGGAATTTTTAAGCATTTTTAGTCTAGAAAGACAGGAAAAATTTGAAATATTTTATCTGCAGTTTCAGCAATTTAAAATAATCAATATAGTACCAAGATTAAAAAAGGCAACCTGGAGGCGGTCCTCGTCCTAAGGTGAGATTAACGGATATTTTTATGGAAGTTAATGACCGCAGAGACCAGAGCATTTGCATTTAATCAAATAAATAGCTTCTAAATATCCTAATAAACTTGCACTAAATACAAGCTGGCATCCAGAAGCATAGCAAAGAGTGATTTTCTTTACTAAAAATAATGTTTGAAGGATAGGTACCAAAACAAATGGCAACAAAACTTTTAGCAGCATTGAAGACGTCAAAAACAGACACACTTTAAGATTGACCAAAAATTAAGGCCTCATTAAAATTATCTTAAGAATCTTCCTCAAGAAGCACAGAGGCATTTTTGTTGACTATGTATTGACAAATTTAAAATGTATAGTTCTTTCGCTGTTGAATCTGAGTTTCGTCAAACGTAAGCCAGCGTGAATGAATCAGTGGCACGTACAAAAAGCAGGAAATAAGTATCGCTAATGAAAAAACACAGACAATTATTGGCTTTTATTAACATAGGGTTTAGGTCCAGAATGAAACCACAGTTTGTCAGAATTGCAATTTACCAGAATTTCAGTTTAACAAAAGATTGGGTGTTCATGTTGGAGTGCACGGATACACTTCAATTTCTGTTAATAACAACGATATCCTATTCAAACGATAGCTTAGCCATATAAATTGGAATTATTTCTAGATAAGTATAGAGAAATCTGCCCAGGGTGCATCCATGTAACTTACTATGTATTATTTATTCCAAATCATTTTGTTTAAGGATGTAACTTGCTACCATCTTATCTAACTATACAGTTTTAATACTAAAGGTAGCAATTTTAAGAGTCTGCTGAAGTCGAGCTCTTTTGACGGACTTCAGCAATACGGCCGCGAAGGGCACATTCCTAAAGATATTATTCGCGAAAAAAATTGGTGTAGAGGAAAATGCAACTCAATTACTACTAATTTTTTTGCCAATGCATTTACGTCATTAAGTTCTCAAGTCAGCTTTGAGATACAAAACAATTCTTTTTACGTATATTTTCTGCATGCATCAAGTCCTTATACTTTACAAGGCTAAAATTTTCACCAGAAGCAACTAAGCGAACTATATGCCATATTTATCCCTGTTACCATCTCGAAACGCATCCCTACTTTTCCTGGTAATCAAGAATGTGTAAAATATGTAATAATATACAGATATACTGCAGATGTTACCATCATTAATTGATGGTTAGTTATCAAATACCCATTATTGATCCAAAGTTAACTTTTAAGTAACAAAGTACGTCTGTTTAGATATGCAGCAATGCATGGTTAAGCTAAAATACTTATAAGTTAAACTCTTTAATGGCTGTGTGCTTAAATAAATTATAGCCCCTAATTTTACAACTCGTTTGTTCATTCGTACCAATGATTAGTTTGATGTCGCCTAAAATGCGCATCCAGTTTTCGGATTATTTTATTGAGCGTTATTAGTCCGTCCAATGGGAGTCTAATTTAGGTGTTGTACTATTGTATTCATGAAATTTGCATCTCTTTCTTCTCAAAATGACTCAGTCAATATTTATTCAAGGTTTTTTCAGATTTTGGCTGGATATTAATTCTTTTTTTCAGTGGGCCAGTGCGGCAACCAAATAGGCCATCGTTTCTGGGATTTAGCTTTGCGAGAGCATGCTGAGGCGAACAAGGTAAACCATTGTTATTATTCTAATGCATTTTAGGGGCATCGATTTGATGAATCTATGCGGACGTTTTTCGATATATCAAGCATGAATTCTAGGCAAATTTTGAAAGCTCGAGTAATGTGCACGATATGTGTAATATTTAGTCTTTGCTGGTAGATATGGAGGAAGGCGTTGTGAAAGGAATTCTTCGTGGTCCGTTAGGAAATATCTTTGATGCTGCACATTTAATAACAGATATTCCTGGTTCAGGAAATAACTGGTAACAACACAAAAAGACTTCTACTTGTTCTTAGGGCTGTTGGATACTATGAACATGGAGAGAAACACGCAAGTGAAATCATCGAGGCTCTTCGTCGAACTGCAGAATCCTGCGATTGTCTTCAGTGCTTTTTTATACTCCATTCAATGGGAGGAGGAACCGGATCAGGAACAGGCAGCTTTGTGACAACTCTTCTTGCAGATTATTTTCCTGAGGTTTTCAAGTACGCAGTATTTAAATATGAATAATTCCTAGGATCATCACCGCTGTTTTTCCTTCGCTCAATGACGATGTTATTACTTCTCCCTATAACACTGTTTTGGCTTTGGATAAAGTTACAGAATTTGCGGACTGTGTAATTGCGATTGAAAACCAAGCGCTTGCAACCATCGCAAACAATATTCGAGGGGAACTTAAGGATAGAAAAGGTGGAAATCAACTCTCTTGTGGAAGTGTTATCTCTGGTGAGGGTGGAATCTCTGAAGGCAAAGTGAAGGCGTTTGACGAAATGAACAATATTGTTGCCAATATGCTTCTAAATCTCACCAGGTTAGTTTAATCGCCTTATCTTTTTGGAACTATGTTTTCAATCAATTCTCATTAATGATGACTGCATCAAAAGTATCAGATATTTAATGTATTCGACATTCCTGGTCTGGCTCAGAATATTATCAGCGTTGTAATAATCGCACAAACGTCCAGGAAACGCTAAATTATGTTCCTCAATTTCATACTTAGCTCCGCAAGGTTTCAAGGGACAATGAATGTCGACTTGAACGAACTGAGTATGAATCTGGTTCCTTTCCCAAGGCTGCATTATTTAATTGCGGCTCAAAGCCCAATTACATCTTTCAAAAGCATCAGAGCTCCGAGAAAGTGAGTCAAGAGATTTTTAATTGAATTTCGCTGCGTTCCCTGAACTCCATTTTAAGCATTATTAACAGATGAGTTTTGCAGCTATCCATGCAGATTTTATTTGATAAAGACACACACTAGACCACCCTGTGTTAGCAAATTCAAAGCCTGACGGGCATTCTTCGTTCCGTTTCGTAACATCCGTCATTTTATGGTAGGGTCTAAGGATCTCCTTCCATGGTAGCTTGAAGTTGACGTTTTACCAATTTTGCAAGGCTGCTTTTATTGAGTTTTTTGTCTAAGTGTATCATGTGCACAAAATTTCAAAGTCAAGAGTCAAATCCTACATATTCTATTTCCTGTTTTGCACGAATTCATGGGAAAAGGTCAACTTGCTCCTGTGGTTATCCAAACTTATTGGTGATTGGCATTTGCAGGTAAAGGGTGACATACATTTGTCTGGTTCCTTAGAGCTTAGAGACTGTGCTGTCGTTACATTACCACTTTCAGATTAATTATGCCGAGGTAAAGAATACGAGATGTAGGCCACCTAGTTTCTAAAGTAGGGTTAGTTGGGCAAGAAAGCAAAACAAGAAGTGAAGACAAGTAGGGCTAGGTGTTGAATTTTGAGTTTCATTTGGGAAGTTGGCTAAATCACAGGTAACACTATCATTCCTCCACAGTATCGACCAGGTTTTCCAGGATGTTTACTCTCGTGATTACCAACTAATCTCCACCAACCCAAAGGCACACACATTCCTGGCCACTTCTCTGTTGCTACGGGGCGATGGCTTTGCTTCAGACATTCGAAGAAATATTGACAAGTAAGAACCTATCCTGGCTGCGATCTACGAAATTGCTTTAAACAGCTTTGAGTAATGCATTTAATTTATAGGCTGCAGAAAAAGCTAAAATTCGTTCCATGGAATCTCGAGGGATGGAAAGTCGGCCATTGCGAAGTGGCGCCAGTCGGACAAAAGTCGAGTCTCTTGGCCATGTCAAACAATACGTCGATCACTATTCCATTCAGCAATGTGCTTGAACGCTTTAATAAGCTTATCCATAAGAAGGTAAAGTCCCGACAGTCCTTAAAAAGGCATAATTTAGTTGTAATGGACTCATTGGTTTTTAAATTCCAGGCTCATATCCATCACTACCTGACAGTGAATGACTTTGAGATGGCCAACTTTGAACAAAGCGCGACCAGTCTTTCAGATCTAATCCAGACATACAAGTTATTTGACTCCGAGTCGGGAGAATTGGGAGCTAATGCAATACCGACGATTAAAATAGCAGATTAATGCTCCCACCACATACTGACCAGAGGTATTTTTGTACGATTTAATTATGTCATTCCTTTAAAAATTGAAATAAATAGCTGCCGAGTGATGCTTAAGGTTTTTACAGCGACGAAAAAGGACTGTTGGGAAGCCTAATCCTGCCAAACATTCCAGCTCTGAGCTGAAGTCGCAAGTCCGTGTGCCATCGTCAGGAAAAAATGGCCTCCTGGAAAATGACAACACCAGTTTAAGGAGATCAAGCAAATATCTATTACAGAATAGAGTTTGTGTCAAGATATACAGATAGCAATTTATTTTTACAGGGACGCAAGGCAAATCTAACTTTCTACTGCTTCTCCAATGAGGGTTCACTATCCTCCTTTTTAGCTTTTGTGGATGCTTCCTCTGTCTGTGCAAAAGCCTCCATTGAAGCTATGTCGGCTGCATCTCCAATTTGTTCCACACGCTCAACCTCAGGGATGTAGAATTGTAGCATGTTCTGAACACCGTGTTTCAAAGTAACAATTGAACTGGGGCAACTTGTACATGACCCCTGCATCTTCAGATACACAACACCGTCTTTGAATGCCTTTAAAAGAGAGGAGTCATCACCGAGTTTTAGCAAAATTTGTAGCATTATAATTTGACAGTATAATGCCGTGGAAAAACGCGGGCGAAGAGTTTTGGAAGCCATCTCTAATTGCATTCAAATTTGGACAATAGTGTGGCTGTCCATGCGTATTTCTAGGTCATGTGAATAAGTGGTTGTCAACACAAAGGGTCGGCGTCATCAAGTCATGAGCAACTCCGGGGTAAAGTAAGAGTAGAGCTATCGGACACTTGAGTTACCAGTGTTCGCGCTCAAATATGTCATAGTGTAATTGGCTGAAGTAGTTCAAGCATATTAAAAATACACATATCAGGACTGCAGTAGCTTGTGACAACGCAAGTACGCAGTGGCAACATACCGGCCACGGATAACCAGAACAGACTTCTCATAAAACATACGCGGAGAAAGACTTACAACGAAGATAATATCACCACCGTCCTCCTGAACAGTCGGCCTAATGCGGCTATCAAGAAGCTCTTTTATCATGGTAACAGTGCAGTCTTCCTCATCGTCATTGTTGCTATCTGAATTTAAGTATGCAGTGATTTGAGGTAAGTTAGACACAACAATCAAACTGTGAGTAAGCTAATCTGGCGCGAAAAAATGAAGTTCAGTGAACAGTTAATTTAAGGTTGATTAAACCTTATGTAAACGAAATGACACATGACTGTAATTGTGGTTTATTAACATACAAAGTATAGGAAGAAACATTGCTCCGCAGCTGACAAATTAAACCTCCCAATAATAATTTTCCAGGTGATCAGAGCAGACCAACCGATCAAAGTCAGCGTGGAAAATACGTCTCAGATAAATCAGTTACAAGTCAACGTAGAGTCTATCTACTACGGTATTTGATTTTTTAAAACAACATACAAATCTAATTATTCTTCGCATGAAGATAACTTTGGGTAAAACATGAACGATATTACGATAGAAAAGAGAACAAAAAGACCCAAAGTATCGCAAAGTACAGCGACAATCGCAATTCAAAAACTGCATTAAATTTTATTTAAAAAAACTGACATTTTGTATTGGTCGTGGGAATGGAACAATGAAACCGTAAATGTGTTCTGCCAGACTGGTTTACTGCTAACAAAATCGCAACCGTACAATACATTAATAAAGGCGATATTACGGAGTAAGGTGTCATCACTTGTCAAACTAATTTTAATAGGCTACTAAAAAGGACACCAAAAGTAAAACCAACACAAGGTGCATAGAGTCATGCTCACTTATGTTGCCGAGAGGCAGATAAAAAACGTTAAAAATAGGTGGTGGTTTATCAGGTGTAATTAATCTTATACAAGTAATGTCAAAGAATTTAGCTTTTACTAATCAGTATTAGTACTGAATAAGTAGTTCCTTTACAATTATCCGGGGTGAAAATAGACAAAAATTAAACCAACCCAGGTGATGCAATTACCAACATCTATGATAAAATAAAAAACGAAATCACACCAGAAAGCCCATTCTGTTCAGAGGACTCGTCAAGAACCGGTGTCCCTGCAGTGAAAAAGTCCATCAGGCAAGAGAATATATCGGGGCTCATTGTACTCCAATCGGCATCAGCACTTTTTGTAACGGTCACAAAATCAGGGCCAAGGAAAACACCTACAACACCCGATATGTGAAAAAGATGCCTAAAACTAAATCGCATATTAAACCGATAAAACCTTGCTAATGGAGAGTTGGTTGTGCTTTGTTTGTTTTGGAAATCCAGTGTGCCATTAGTAAGTACAGTAGTGCCAGGGATAAACTTGCGACTATTAGGATTTGGTGTATCTTTCCATTGAATAAACAAGGACCTCCACGCTAAAACCAACATGCTTTAAAAGGACCTTAAAGGTTCGTACTCTGATAAGTCTCGTTGCGCTTTGCAAATCTAAAGAGGCTTGGGATGCACTTGAACATCCCGGCTAGTTTTTACGGCATAGAAGACTAACTGGCTGAGATTACGCAATGGACCCCAACTGTTCTCTACCGAAATAGGTAACTTAAACTAGCATTTAGGTCATCTCATTGTTTCGACATACAGATTAGTAGGAAAAGGCAAATCATGAATTTACCATTGCTGTTCTATGCCCTTAACGTTGCGTACATATTTACAAACCTAAATAGCCGTTGTAATCATAATGTTTTGCTAGTTTCATCTGTTAGGAAAAAATATTTTTTTTGTAATAACCTTTAATTCTTATTAAGGTATTTCACAATATTTGCCGTCTTGAGAATTTATGTTCAGTTTATAAATTTCCGACCACAACACATTTCAGGCACCAATGATCATGTTAGAATCGTCTGCATTATTAAAATCAATCTTACATAGTATTCCAGCTGATTCACGACCTCATGCATTAACTGCCCTTTTAAATCTAACTCTGTGTCAATATCGGAGAACTTAAATTTTAATCGTTGAATGTGAGAAAATTCTTTAAGTTCCTATGCTAACACCAATTTACTCACCTATGCGACTGTTGTGGGTCCCAGCATGTGGTCTTGAACCACACCGGGATCATGGAATAAACTCTGGCCCGATTACGTTTCCTTGATACCCGCGATGAAGAAAAAGGCGGGAGAGAACGTGGACACAACTGTTTACTTCAGTGCTTAACTACGTTGGTGGCGTCGTGTCGTGTGTGGGGTATGCGCGCGTGTATTTATACCTTGGATGTTTAAGTCATAAATGAGCTAACATCGAGACATAGGTGTGAGGACAATCCAAGGTAACTATCCGGGTGAAAGAGGGGGGAGTTGAGGATCATCGCGGCTGGCAACCTTGTGTCGGAGGTGGAGCGACAGGAAAAGGGGTGTGAATAAACACGAATCACAACACAACCTAGAAATAAGCGTAAAATACCACATCTGAGCAACTCAGGTTTTGAACGCCTACTAAACAGTTGAGCAATTCATTACTTCATTACCCTCCGTCTTTTCTATTCCTATAAAACTCGCATTAATGGCTTTCAACACGTTCTGCAGGTACCAAGGCAGATGATGACCGGGGGGAGCTCAACTCTACATCGAATAGCTTACGTCAGAGGTGTTTTTATACCCATGCACATTAAACGTCTCGAAACTAGTGTACCTTAGAGTTTAGACGTCCCCGAAAAATCAAATTAGTTCTGGTGAGTTATTGTAATGTCCCCTCGAATCATAGTTATCATTATAAAAACGCATCCAAAAATATTCGATTTAGTTATTTTGAGTCGACACACAGTCCGCAAATTCTGAAGATGTGCCCAAAGCCAAAACAGTGTTTTGGCGAGACGCAATAGCGTAGTCATTGAGCTAAGAGAAAACTGGTTAATTCTCTCGTCCACAGTCACTTCATATTCATGTTCGACATCAAGGCTCCTTAAGAATTTAAAAAAGACATTCGATTACCTGGATAAATAACTAGAATCTGCCAAACTACGGCCCTTCCAATACCACTGTGGCATTTTCCAAAAGTTTATGACCAAGAACAAGCATTTAAGCAACCTTTGCAAAACACTACCCGTAATTTACCTTACACTCTTTGCATTTAAATGAATTTCTTCCAAACCTCACAGTTCATGGGTAGGTTTATCCCGCGTCTGAGTATTCGACTTAAGTGGATACTGAGGTCAATCATTAGGATAAAATCAGCATAAGCTGCTATTGAAAAAAGGCAGGATTATTAATTGCGTTAAATGCTATTTTGGGTTCCTGAGCAAACAAAAACTCCTAAGTTAAGTAAAATATGCAAAGTGATTTCGTTTGGATAGCGCATCTAATTTGAGATCTCTAGCTGTTGCGCATCATGTAATTAGTTAATCAATCGGCCTAAACATGTAATGCCACAGAATATGAAGCCACCCTCAAAGTTAAGTTACCAGATAGCTCAGAATACAGGTTAAAAACCCTGATTAATAATTTCCTACAATATGGGCACGATGTCCCTTGAGACCCGTAAAGTATTCCACTGTGTGTGCATTGGTGCATAAGCGGAAGATCTACTTATGCATCAGCTCTCAACCGTCAATCTGTAAAGTTTTAATCTCGAGTATTTAAATTAAATATTCGACGTTGTTTGGTTAGGGTGTCGGTGAGAAGGACGAACAGGCGAGCAGTTTGTGAAATTCAACCCTAAAAATAAAAAAAAATTTAAAAACAAAACGCTGTCAAGAGTGCGAGAGGCATTCCAAGACTCACTTCTCTAACATTTCTCAGAGCCTTCAATTGCACGTACAAATATACGTGTGAAGTTTCCAGACTGTGTTCTAAGTCGCTGATAGTCAGTCGTGTGCTCGCTTCTCCCATCGTTTCACCTCTTTTAGTTTTTGTCGCCTTAAATAGTATCTATTGAACCTTGTTAATTTGCGAAGTTTTGACTGCATCTGCAGCAGCAGTCGTTTGTATTGCCGTTTAATTATAAACTATTGCGCTTGTGTACTCCATGCTTTAGTCGAAGCGTTCAATGAAGCCTTAGCGGGGAAGGGCTTTTTAAATACAGGAAGTTTTACATTGATAGAAATTGTACTCTTCTGGCCTAACATGAGCGACTAGTCGGATTTGTGCTGCCCGTTTACATTTGCTATTCCATTGTCTGCGTGATACAAAAGTTGGAAGTTTTGTGGACGTATTTTGTCAGTTTTATGTTCATGATGAATAAATTCGAATTAATGGTATTAGTCAGCCAAAAAACTTACACGTTTCCTTGTAAAATCGTTTATTGGATTGATTTGGGAATCAAGCAACTCATCATTTTACTGCCTACCTTTCCTAAGTTTAAAAGACGTGTTTATTAGTATTACTAATTTGCAAAGTTTTTGCTACGAGTAGTACGCATATTTAGATAGAAATGGTGGTTCAGCTCCTAACCATCTTTGGTCCTGAGCATCTAATTTTACTGGTAGGTAACCATGGAAGGCATCCGCAGTCCTTTTTTGTTCTTTGAACAGCTTCAAGATATCACAGATCTTTGTTAAACATATATTTAATCTGTTTTAACTGATTGCAGAAACACATCTTCGACAAATTCCAATTAACTTTTGTACCTTCAGTATTCCATCGTTTTAAACATAAAAAGTTGGCTCTTTTCCATAGCGAATAAATGAAACAAACGGATGAATTAATTAAATACGCTTCTTCCAATGTAGCCCCGGAATTGGTGGTTAAAATGACAAAGGTTATTGACCTTATTACTTTGGTGTACAACTTAAATCACCATAGTAAACCCACCGACCTGTCGAAAACTTAAATAAAGAGGGTATGTAGATCGATTACAGCAAAATTTATTTTTCGGCATAAAAGCCCAGCATAACTTGGCGGCTTGGATAATTACTCTAAAAGGTACACAGGTTTTAATAATTGCTTGATGACAGTCTATAAGTTTTATAATATTTTTTTTTCTCCTACGGTTTGTACCTCGTCACAAAGCAAAAGTTTTGTCACCTTAAAGCATACTGAAGATTTGGTAAAGTGAATTTATAAATGGCTCAATGGCTGAGACGTCATTCTTTATTTTTGGGCATTCGCAGAGTTAACCTTGTCGCCTGGCGCTGTGATATTCAAAATAATCCAAGCGTGGAAGTTTCTTTATTAACATTAATAATCAATTAACAAGTTGTTTGCATCAGTCGACACTGTTCTCTTGGTTTATGCACAATAGTCACCTTAAATTCCAGTACTTGGGTTAAGGCGTAGGTACACTTTAAAATGAAGCTGATTCGACAAAATGGCTACCTGTGCATTTTCGCTACAATCGGAATAAATAGACATGCGGCACCTTAAGACGGTAAATTGGAATCACGCGGCAAGAAATTGGGTTCCATATTCACTTGAGCTGCAATCAAAATTTTCCTCCTTCATATTTGCTTTCACGTAAAATCTGTCGTATCTGTTGGGATCTTTTGCCTTTTAAAAATACTAGCCAAGCAGACATTTACTTGCGTTCCGAGGTTGACTTCTGGTGTATGTACCCTAAGTTTGCTGTAGTCTTTACCGTCTGTGGTTTTGAACCTTGGAAAGGTCATAATTCTAGGACAATTTTGGATTGGTAATCTTCACCTGAAACAATTCAGGCAATTGCATTTATTTATGAAATAATGACTGGTAATTAGTGACCACCAGACTATCAGCATATCAGTAATTTCGTTTTTAATACTCGTCGATGAGAAAGATAACACTGTTTTGTGTATTTACGCACTCAGCGGAAATTCGAATTTTTCCATCCATTAAATGAAATCATTTCATTTCCTTTCGCAAAGTTGCAGCCAAACGTTGTCGTCTTAGCACCCGTTATAAAACGTTTCGACAATTATGTGACATTCGTCATGCTAGTTAAATTTCCCTGACACGTTAATCAAGGGTCTCTGGAAAGAAAATCGTTTTGATTTGTTGATTGATGAGAATTAACAATAAATTAACTCAGAAAAGGCTCCACTTGAAATTTTCTTCAAACAACACCGTTTAGTTTTTTTTGACAAAAAGGCTTAAACAACGACGCCGTCGTCTAGTGGTTTTGTAAAGGCTTTGAGCCCTGGTCTAATAGTGAGACTCGGTGTTACTAATTTACAAAACAATAAGTAATAAGATCATTATATTTGAGACGCAATTGAAATTAATTAAAGCCAGACTGCGTAAATCCAGAATCTCTAACTATAAATGGGATCGTATTAGCAACCATCTAGAAGATCACGTTTTTTGCCCTAATTTTGCACTCAGAAATTACGAATTTCACTGATTGTATCGCCACAAGCATGCATTCATTCAAGTAATATTTAATTTCTAATAGATATTTATTCAGGAACAGGATTTCAACAGTTTGTTTAAAAAATTGCTGAAAACGTAATTTAAAAATCGCAC